TGGTGGTGATAATTGGTTGATAGTTTCAGATAGTATGTCCGTCTTACAAGCCTTAAATAATCCAAACTTTAATACATCAACTAGCTACGTAATTCATAAAATACGCTCAAAATATTTAGATCTAACAATATCATTTAAATTGAATATTGTCTTGGTATGGTCACCAGCACACATAGGTGTAACTGGCAATGAACAAGCTGATTATTTGGCTAAATCCATTACAAATACATCTTATAATATTCCCATCACAAATATTCAAGTACCTGACTCAGATATCTTGGTAAACATAAAAAGAAAAATGCGTGATGAGTTTGTAAATACTTGGGAACAAATCACTCTAACCAAGGGAAAATGGTACAGGCAAATAAACAAAAATATCACAAAACCTTGGTTCTCCTTGGGAACCCATTATAGTGGTAGAAAATATTATACTATAATTTCTCGTCTCAGGCTCGGACATTGTCGTTTTAATGCTCACCTTCATAAAATAAATATAGTGTCGTCACCTATCTGCAATTATTGCAATTCAAGTAGCCAAACTTTGGATCACCTTTTCTTTGAATGTAGTCATTTTGCTCTCGCTAGGATTCTTTTCATAGATCGCCTTCTGGAGATTTATCATAAACCTGAAAATATCCCGCGCACCCTCCAGAAATTATTGAATAATCCACGTTGTTTTAAACCTATTTACGACTATGTTGTATCGACTATCGGAGATATATAAAATTTAAATTATGACATAACGGACAAAAGGTGAAATATTTTGATCTGACATTTAACTCGATTTGTGACATTATACTCTGATTTTACTTTTACAGTACAAACAAGGTCTTCATGGCTTTTATTCTTCATATCGCTGTTTATTATCAAAGACATGGCTACGGCCTATTTTTTCCTATGATATCGAAGAAAAATTTTGTACAACAGACAATGGCTGTATGGGCTAAGCTCTCTTCGCCTTTCCTTTAAGGAAAAAATCTACCAAAAAAAAAACTCTATGTCACAGTCTCTCTCTCGCACACAAGCACAAGTTTATCATTTGGTTCTTTGGAAGTTACTTTTTCTATTTTACGAATTGGAATTTATTAATTCATTTAACTTTAGAAATTATTTCTATTCTTTAAAAGTATAATCAATCATCTATATTTTTTGAAGAAATGTTTTATTAGCAATTTTCTGTAGTAATAAGGAGTTATTTTGTACCTACCAAAGTTTTTGTAGTAAAAATGAAAAGCGGGAAGTTAGTACTAAGTGCAAATCGTTGCATTGCCAGCAAATCATTATCATGGATGAGGTAAGTTTGATAAGCTGATCAAAGTTTTGTTTATATTCAATTACCAATGGCATCCACCCAAATGAACTTCTAACTCGCCTTGGACTTTGCACCAAAACCTTCATCAGAAATAACACTCATATATTTTAGTCGTCTCTATATGAAACTTTATATTTTTAAATAGCTAATAGACAACATCACATACAATGCTCTGATTCCAGGATCAGTATACTGGATCAGTATGATTAATTGGATATTTTTTGTACTTTCTTTGTAAATTTTTATTTGTTTAGCCGGTCTAATTCTTAAGTTTAGTATGCAAGGATCAAGAATTAGGATGCTAAACTTAATCCCATCCAGAAGGGGTTGAGTCTGAAAAAATATGGTTTTGGCAAGGTTACATGATTCTTTATAGGTGAGGGCCTCAAGTATAGCTATATAAAATGAACCTTGTAGAAGTCTTTTCCATACAGTCTGTGGAGGTAGAAGAGAATCTCCCATACATATGTGAATAGAATGCGCAGATAGGAGATTAAAAATCATATTAATTACCCAGCAATGGGAAACCCAGCTGAAGCAATTTTTGCCTGGATAGTGGAAACAAGACATAATCATAATTCAGTTACTACTGGAAGTGAAGGAATCATAAAGATAGGAATTTCATTGCTTGGAACAAATAGGGTGCTAATCAATGCACACTGACCCTGATATAGCCAGTTATAAGTTGTAAAAGCAGCTTGATGCGACACATAGGTGGCTTTCTAAATGGTGGATATGCACAAGTGCTAATAAGTCTCGCCATGTTACATGTGCTTTGAGGAAAGGCAATTGCGCCCCAGTTAAACTTGGAAATGATATCCTACCACATACTGACAACATGAAATACTTAGGATTCCACCTTGACCTACATTTGACCTGGAAGAATCACATTATGAATAAAAGGAACAAAATTAACACAAAGTATCAAAGCTTATTCTGGCTGATGGGAAGGAACTCAGTAGGGAACAAGCTGCTGATATATAATTTAGTTTTAAGACCGATCTGGACATATCGGATCAAAATATGGAGTGTGGCTAGCAAGTCAAATATACTATGTCTCCAACAAGTACAAAACGGCATACTAAGGAATATTGTAAATACTCCCTAGTTCACCAAGAACAATGAAATCCATGCATATCTGAACATACCAACAGTGGCCGCTGAAATTGAATTATATCTAAAAAGAGACAAGGATCATCAAAAGAATCACCCAAACCCTCTTATAGCTAAGTTGTTGGACCAATCAAACGTGGTGAAGAGGTTGAAAAGAGACCACATACTTAATAAGTAGAAGACCGTTTCACTAAACCGATCTCCATCTACATCAAATAAATTAGCTTATGGTCTTGCGACTTATCATCACAAATCGCAATATATATAATAATATATGTATATATGCTGAAATAAGACAAACCATTGTTTGGCATTATTATTAGTAAGTGGCTTGTATCCTTCATAACTTTGTGAAATCTTTTTATATTATTCCAGACCATAGAAGGCCTATTATTGTGTTAGTGTTTTGACCGCTTTTGCGGCTGCAGCCTGATATTTTATATACAGTCTGCGACAATAGGATAACCTCAGTGGATTTTGTGAAAAGCGTTAGTTGTAATTTAATTTCCCACTATCTGTAATTTTTGTATTGTATTACACAACGTGTTTATGTATTCAAATTTCTACCATGGTGAACAAGTTAGAACATGTCGTATATCGTCGACAAGACCGTGCGTCCGCGTCATAAGGATAACCTCAGCAGTTGTTTCAAAGCAGCGAACAAGTTCACATCTTTTCTCTTGGTTGTATATTTATTGATTTAGTGAATTCTTTATGAAAAAATAGTTTCGTTTAGATAATGCCTCGTGGAAAAGTACTAACCAGTGTAGAAATTGCAAAAATTATCACCTTAAAAAAATATATATATTCTCATCGTGCTTTTGCAGTTAATATCGGTCGCAGCCCAAGAGTAGTTAATAATTATTTCAGAGATCCAGAAAATTATGGCATAAATCAAAAAAGGAGAACGGCGAAGGCAACTACTGAGCGCGAACGACGAGCTATATTGAGGAAGGCGTCAAACTCTTTAACCACTGCCAGACAAATAAAAGTTAATGTAGGTACAAGTGCTAGTGTTCGTACAGTACAACGCATTATAAAGTCGTCACGACATATTAAACGGCAAAAATTAAAAAGCAAGCCTGTTCTTCAAAGAAGACATCGTGAAGCTCGTTTAGCTTTCGCTGAAGCTCATATAACGTGGTAAGATGAATGGAAAAATGTAGTCTTTTCTGATGAAAAGAAGTTTAATTTAGATTATCCGGATGGATTTAGGTTTTATTTCCATGATTTGCGAAAAGATGAAGCGATTCTGTCACGCCGTCAGCCCGCGATGGGCAAGGTCATGGTTTGGGGGCTATAAGTAGTAAAGACCCAGTTGATATTTCTTTTATAGTGGGTAAGTAGAGCAAAGTCATGGTTTCAGACAAATAACATCAAGGTTCTTGATTGGCCCGCAATGTCACTATAATTGAAAATGTTTGGGGATGGCTTACACGTAATGTTTATGCAGATGGAAAGCAATATCGAAATAAAAATGAGCTGCAAGAAGGTATTAAAAAGTTTTGGTATAAAATACCCCCTAAAATCATTGCCAACTTATATGAGTCAATGCCAAAACGAATTTTCAGTGTTATTTTAGAAAAAGGGGGTCACACTAGATATTAATATAAGAGTTTGTGGTTATTATCATTATTAACAATTTTTTAGATTTGTGAGGTTATCCTACTGATGCGCAGACAAGGGCTTTTCATTGTGTATTTTAATGAACAGAATAAATTTCGTGGGATAAAATAAATTTAATCATATTTTAATTAATACTTATCGTTTACGTAGGAATAAACAAATTAAAATTGATTTTGGAAATTTTATTTCTGTAAATACATTACTTCTACATATGAGGTTATCCTATTGTCGCGGACTGTAATATCTAACTGTCATAGATCCTGCATAGGATTTTTGCCAGGGAGAAAGTTGTTTCTCTTTAAAAGAATTTTTAACAAGAATGGACTTGTCTGCTTTAGATAATATACAAATTTTAAAATCATTGTAGATAGATAGATAATTATTACTTTGAACAGTGGAAATGTTTTTATATCTGATTCTAAGTAATTTTTGTAAATGGTTCAATCTGCTTTTGCAAAGTAATATTTAAATTAGGAACGGGGAATAGTTTGTATTCACACTATCAGTTTGTAAATCGGGCATCAAAAAAACAATTGTGAAATTATCACTTCCATGGGTAACTGCTAGAATTGTCCAATGGAAGGAATACATAAGGATAAATCCACAGCACTAGCAATATTTTGTGTGGGGGAAACCCTACGTGTAGGGAACCCGTCATTTAAAATGCAGAAGTCAAATTTATCACAAATGTCCAGAAATCCACTACATTTCTAACAATCTTGTACAGGAAAATTAGGTCCAGCATACTCCTCCTTTGAATAATACTATCCATTTGAAAGTATTAAAGTCTTTCTCTATACCTACTGCGTTTCACATTTAAACTTCTAAATTAAAGATGTTGCGTGATGCGTTTCTGAATTCATTCAATACGCAGTTGATGAACACAGTACTGAGGCGACCAAACCACCAAGCAGTACTCCAGCTTCGTCACTGGGTTTTTGAATACTTTTCCATTTGAGATATTTTAATTAGGATGCATAGTTGTTGTGAGATTATTTATGATTGTATGTGTACAGCGTACGTGGAGCGGCAACGGACACGCCAGCGGCGACGCGCGACCGCTCCCGGCCGGCGCCCCGCGAGAGCGGCTCGTTTATGCTAAATCTGTTCCGCGGCCGACTGGAGCCAACTCAGGTGTTTCCCTATCCTGAGCCGCTGTCAGATGACCAACGTCAGATGCTGCATGAACTTGTACCACCTGTCGAGAAATTCTTCCAAGAGGTGAGACTATTCTTATTTTAGTGCAGGATTATCACTTGGATAATATTTCATCTTACCAAAACGATACCTATTACTTTAGATTAGAATATAAAATATTTTAACTATGTATGTCATAAATTGTATATTTCTTACCAACGGCACAAGCTGACAGAGACTTTCAAACGAAAGGGAACAGTCATTTGACCACGAGTGCCCACAAGATCAGGATGCGAAACAATCATGAGTTCTAAAAGCGAAGGTTTACAGTTGGGGAAATAATGAGTGGGAGACGTCATGGGAAGAACGTGATGGTTAATAGTGAGATTAACAAGTTTACTCGCCCGAAGATCTTGTTTCAACGGACATGTATTAAGATCACCCATCATTACGACATGATTAAAAATAGGGACCATATTTTCAAGAGTATTTTCCAAGCAATTAAAGTAATCAACCGTCCAGGCTTTTGAACTATATAATGCCCCCAAAAGAACCTTTTTGTTATAAAAGATCACTTCAACAAAAATATATTCAATGGAGCTGGATTAGTTTGATGGGGAACAAGATATTACCTTGGCCGGTATGCGATTACGCATATCTAAGGCACCACCACCCGTGCCAGTGCGATCATTGCGGAAAAGCTTATATCTCGGAACAGAACAACACGAACAAGAGAGCGAAGGTCTATTTAAATAGGTTTCAGAAATAGACATACAGTCAACTACGCCTTTGCTCAAAGATGTGGGAAGATCGGTATAAGGGGCTAGTATACTTTGCACATTTAAATACTTGAAGGAAAGGAAATTGGAATTTTGACCAAACGTTTCTGATTCTGATAAGCGGCGTTTCTTCTGGAACAAACAACTTGAGAGTGCTATTAGCACTCTCTTATTCATCAGACGAACAAGAAAAATAATTATCATTTAAATCCATACTCAGTAAATAATAACAATAATAAATACAATATATAAAATGAAATATTAATACAAATTTAAAAACAAAAAATAACACTAAAACCACAATTAATCATCCTGGAAAATTTCTCAGGTTGACTGGAAAATTTATCAAATGACGTTATAATGAAATGTTGTTTCTCAGTTATATGTTTTATGGCGAATTGGATTGTAATCGAAAGAGTAGTTTGTGAATCGACGACAGGACAACTTGCGGCGATAAATATAACTACTAATTTCAAGGGCTCTCCTCGACGATACACCCGATCGTATCCACGTCCCGCCACTGAACCACAATTTATTTCAGACCAATTCAAATTAGGCTCAATGTAAAGTTGCTGCATTATATAACATAACGGCGCATTTTTTTAATGGGCGCACTTGCAGGTAATACGGCTGCGACATCATGCATATATGTGGCATGTTAAGATTCGTCGAGTCGCTAAAGTTTCAGTATGTGTAGGTGAACGACCCGGCGAAGAACGATGCGAACGCGGAAGTGGAGCCGGCGACGCTGTCCGGGCTGTGGGAGCTCGGCGCCTTCGGGCTGCAGGTGCCGGCGGAGCTCGGCGGGCTCGGCCTCAACAACACGCAGTACGCGCGCCTCGTCGAGGTCTCTGCCCCCCTCCGTACACCTACCCAAAATTAAGAAACACACTTTCTTTTAGAATGTTAGGGTAAAGTATGACCAGGTACTCTGTTATGTCCTGGCTAACTTAATGGTTAGACCGGTCGAGATGAATGAAACTTCAACATCCGTATTTCATGTAAGGGGGCGTCCATAAATTACGTGAGATGTTTAAGGGGGGGAGGGGGTCGAGTCAAATCTCATCTAATCTCACGTTGGAGAGAGGGGTGGTCTTGGCAAATATCACGCAATTTTTAAAATAAGGCTCGGTGCGGGGAATCCCTCATAGAGTGACAAGTCTAAGGTTGAGATCATTCACTAATTCGTTGGAAAGAAAATAATTTCATTCGTACTTTGACATTATACATCACTCCTGATTGTCAAACCACTATACTCGTTTTATACCAAATAGCTCAATTTAATTTGAATTTACGGTACAATGTAGCCCGTCCTTTGTTTTCGCGCCACTGTCAGCTGAACGTGTGACTCGATGAATGAGAGCAATATTTATTACTAGTCTCTAACTAGTCGTAAATAAAAGTACGAAGCGAATTTTTTTTTTCTTTTTATTAAAAAAATCCAACGTGTTTAAATAAGAAACCCACATTTTGAAAAATCTCACGTGAGATTTGGGGATGGGGGAGGGGATTGAATAAAATCTCACGACATCTCACCAGGGGGGGAGGGAGGGTCAGAAAATTTGAAAAAACACCTCACGTAATTTATGGACGCCCCCTAAGTCACCTCACGGCTTGTGTGATTCGGCCAGCGTCTAGCCGGTAGGCATCAAAGGAGGCACAGCACTACGAGTTTAGGGATATTTATATTTTGTGGACCGTGTCCTGTGCCATCTAAGATTTGGACATCTAACGCGTCCCGGGCGAGCGAACGGACCGGACAGAAAAAGTAATGCGAGTCCTCGTGCAGATAGTGGGCGCGCACGACCTGGGCGTGGGCATCACGCTGGGCGCGCACCAGTCCATCGGCTTCAAGGGCATCCTGCTGTTCGGCTCGGAGGAGCAGCGCAGCCGCTACCTGCCGCGCGTCACGGCCGGCGAGTTCGCCGCCTTCTGCCTCACCGAGCCCTCCTCCGGCTCCGACGCGGGCTCCATCAAGTGAGTACGGCGGTGCACTTCCGCGATGCGATACTGCGCCCGGCAATTGTTCAATATTAATCAAGACGAACGAAGTTAGTCACCATCGCTATTGGCCTATCTAAAAAACTGCAATTTATAAAGTATTTTTCTAAAAAACTTGGAGCGGTGCTTGTGATAAAATGTCTCGTGCAATCGTGGACCCCGAGTCGCATAATATACATAATTTCTATTATTAAAATTATATTTAGTTACATGATCTGTATATAAACATGTTTAGTTTATGTCTGAACTCGGTCGACCTGTGCGTCGGGCGAGTAGAGCTAACGAGTTAATTATATAATTGCTAATTAATCAGCAAACATTCCATCTTGAATTTTATAAATAAAACAAACAAATTAAGTGACAGGAACATAAAACTTACTTTACCAAATTTAAAAGCTTCTCTGTGCCCTCATACGACATCGTTTGCAGTGTTTTGCCAGTGAACGTGCGGTACAGCGTTTAATCTACTGTAATAGTAAAGGGCCCGCGAAGGCATAGATTTTTTTTATAAAAACTCGTTAAAATAATCATTATGTAGGTACATACTTCTGATTAATATGATGATTTAGGCATTCTTATTGATTTATTTGATCGTGTTTAGGAACAATAAAATTTTATTGCAACAATTAATTTTTCCTGCAATTGTATTTTAAAAACGTTGTTAATAATTTTAAAATCAATTAATTAGGTATTTAGATTATGAAAAATAAAAATTATAAACATTTTTAAAATTTTATCACCAAATTTTATGTTAACTTTTTTTATCGATAAAGTGTCAACAAGGAACGTCATTAGAGTAACAATAACTTGTGACAACCTACACAAATTGAGACACAACTACTATTGTACCTACATCTCTTTTTAACCCAATAACGCGGTTCGTTATTTCTTTGCTTTTGTTATTGTTCTGAGCGTTTGTTTTATGCACGAAAACACGAATGATCTTAACATTCCGAGTGCTAGTGCCGAGTGCTCTCTCTTGTCGCGAATCATGGTGGGTTTATACGTGATAAAGTAGATAATTTATTTTTAAGTCAGTAAGTACATATAAACGGACAATAGGGTATTCTACTCTGTTTGAAATAATACTTGTTTTATGGCCTTTTTAATTAAAACTGTTTATTTTAATTAAAAAGGCCATAAAACGAATATTTAGAGAAAATAAACAAGTTTTCATGCCTTAAACTTAAATTTAAACTTATTTATACCCGCAAAAAACGCTGTCCATCATATTCATGACGTCATTGTGAAGTGTACATAAAATAGATGCATAGAGTAGAAGATTGAAAGATGTCAATAAAACAAGAACGATGCCATCCAACACTCGATTATGTTTAGGAATAAACTCATTCACTCAGATTGAACGTGTACCGTGTACCGACCGATAATGATAATAATACAGGACATTGATTATGATCACTATTTTTACGTCCGTTATAAAGAAATTAATGGGAAATTTTAGTTATGTAAGTGGCAATAAATAACAAGTGCGAATGAGACAGAGTGAGAGAGTGAGTAAGAGAAGTGCCTCCCAGGTAAGTGCAACCTCCAATATAATTCTTTATACTTCTTGTATTGGCATAACGTTGTATTGGTACTGATTATTGAACAGCTCTAAGCAAAATTCGCTTTATGGTGACAAACCATTTCTTTCTCCCACTGTACTAAACTACATTTGGACGCTTACGTAAAGTGACTTATTTATTTAAAATCAAGTTAAAAATCTACTAGATTTGAATATTGTACGTCGAATATTGCTAAGACTTCGCCGTCTGTCTGTCTGTCACCAAGCTACATCTTAAGAATCGTGAAAATTCGAATTTTCACATATGCTGTATTTCTGTTGCCGCTTAAAAATAAATACTAAAAACCAAAACAAAATAAATATTTAAAGGGGTCTACAGTAATTCCGGTACGGAACCCTTCGTGCGCGAGTCCGACTCGCATTTGGCTGGTTTTTTATTTATACATAACCACAAAACCAGTATGGCGGTGTTTTCTAAACATTTTATAATGTGAGCAGAAAATTATCATGCTTCAGAAAATACATTGTAATCGATCGCGCTGCTGTCGACGACTGTATTTGACGTTGATAAACGTAGTAGGCAATTCGTACGACCATAACAAAAATCTTTAAGTCGGTTTGCATGCCGCATCGGGACGATATCTGCGTGCGGTTTTATTCCTTCTCAGTAATATGGTCTCGTACACTATCAAAATTCTCTCTTTCTGGGGACGATCGGAGCTCGCACAGTGTATAGAAAGGCTCCCGCTGTAATAGATCTGTCCCTATAAAGATGAACGCTGCGGGAGGACGCATAAAATTTAACTCTGCGACGTCATCAAGATATAATCTGACAGTTCGAAAATCACGGCTTTAGGCGTCTCGGAAACGGAATATTCGAATCAGCTTATAGTCGTTTACGCACGCGTCCCGCGATCGAGGGCACCGGCGCTCCGTCTGAAGGACCGTTTTTGTGCGAAGGACTCGCGCCGTCCTCGCCCCGGACGGCGAGCACTTCATCCTGAACGGGTCCAAGATCTGGATCAGCAACGGCGGCATCGCGGAGATCATGACCGTGTTCGCGCAGACGCCCATCGAGAAGGACGGGAAGACCGTGGACAAGGTCACCGCCTTCATCGTGGAGCGCTCCTTCGGCGGCGTCTCCTCCGGCCCGCCCGAGAACAAGATGGGCATCAAGTGCTCCAACACCGCCGAGGTGTACTACGAGGACGTCAAGGTTCGTATGCGTCGGGTCGCGCGGCGGCGGCCGAGTGTACCGTGTACCGTGTACTGAGCATTGCCCGTGCGCGCGCAGGTGCCGGTGCGGTGCGTGCTGGGCGGGCTCGGCAACGGGTTCAAGGTGGCGATGAACATCCTCAACAACGGCCGCTTCGGCATGGCGGCCGCGCTGGCCGGCACGCAGCGGGCCGCGCTCGCCACCGCCGCGCAGCACGCCGCCACGCGCACGCAGTTCGGCCGCAGGCTCATCGAGTTCGGCACCATACAGGTACGGGCCCCGGCCCTGGCCCGACGGGAGGGACGTGTTGCCCGATTGAACACCCGTGGGACGCCTGTTGCAGGAGAAGCTGGCGCGCATGGCGCTGCAGCAGTACGCCACGGAGAGCCTGGCGTACCTGGTGAGCGGCAACATGGACTGCGGCGCGCAGGACTACCACCTCGAGGCCGCCGTCTCCAAGGTCAGACCCCTCCCTTTTTATACGGATCTCGATTCGATCGATCGAAATCACCGGGCGACCGGACTTATTTGTTCCTCCGAAAGACGTTCGTTTTTAGTCCGGGTCCGTCCCGTTTGATCTCTCGTGTTGTGATGACTTCCCGTGCACGATGGACGCTCGTCGTATCGAATCGACCTGAGCCGGTCGGATCGGATTTTTTTTCTCCTCGATCTGAACGATCTGTTATGGTGCCGGCTAAAAGAGTTCTCGACCGCCAAAGTCATTGTAAAATGAATATTAAAATATCTTTATTCGAGTAGATTACAAGCACTTTTGAATCGTCCAGATTTTTTTTTAACTTGGAACGGCAAGTTTATTTTTATTTCTTGTGTTAAGATTATCTACACTACTTTTTTTGTGAAGGAATCGTAATGTTTTATTGCGTACATACTACTTTCATATTTGTACTGAGACGCAACAGTCAAAATATTTATTTCTTTAAATATTCTCTGATTATTTCTCTCTAGCTAGACCGTAAATTATATATAGCGCAGATAGCTTTCTTTTGTAGAATAAAAATATCTTGAATGCTAGCCGTAGAACCCCACAAAAATAGACCATACGTCATTACACTATATCAATCTTGCCGTTTCAACATTTGTCAAGAGTCTAATTTTATTAACAGCAAATGCTGCAGAACTCAGTCTACTTGACAAGCTATCAATATGAGGATCCCATTGCAGACGGGAATCTAGTGTAATACCGAGAAACTTTGTCGATTCCTCCAACTCAACTTTTTCACTATTTACATTTATAAGTGTACTAACATGCCTCACATTACGTAATTCAAATTTTATGCATTTCGGTTTATTAGAATTAAGCTTTAAATTATTACTATCAAACCACTGTAGAACATTGTCGAGAGCATAATTTACATCGTCAAAACAATCATTACCCCTCTTAACTTTAAACACTAAAGAGGTGTCATCAACAAATAACACTGTCTCGCACAAAGTCTTCGTAAAGTGAGGAGATCATTAATGTAAATAAGAAAAAGCAATGGTCCTAATACCGATCCCTGAGGTACGCCCATAGTAATGAGTGCCCCTGCAGATTTCGCTTCATTAATTACTACTTTTTGAATTCTAGCAGAAAGATATGATTTTATTAGATTAAGTGAATTTTATCTCAAATACTTAGCGCTGGTAGTATAGATATTGGACTGAAATTACTGACAATCAGACTTGTCGCCTGCCTTGAAAAGTGGGATTAAATTACCATATTTCATTAAATCAGGAAAAGTTCCTTTATCAATGCATTTATAATTTAAAGTTAATTGAGGCGCTATAGATGGTATTATAGATTTGATAACATAAGCTGAAACGCCCCAAAGGTCAAATCCCCAAATTGTATTTCAGTTTATCACGAATATCTTCCCATTCCTCCCTTTCGCCCTGTAAATCGGAGGTCGATATGAATACTCCATATCGAGTGTGGATCTGGTCGTCTATAAAAATGTCTCTAGCATTTTTTTCTACGATCAACCATTTTTTGAAATAAAGCGTATAGAGAGCGGGTAGGGAGAGCGAGTTATTTATATTTTATTTATTTTGTTTTATTCAGGATAATAATCAATTGTACTATACAGATTAGATTAGTAAAATATAGCACATTACTTATTGTACAATCAGCACCATTATATATAGCATCGTTATAGTAATCCTAAAAGAGGGTACTGTACTAATGATAATTATAAAAATTGCATCTCCTCCAGTTTATAATTCAATTCATCCAGTTTATAAGTAACTGAATAATTCACGCTTTATTCAGTTACTTATTTTCTCCATTGCAAATGGGAAACGGAGAAAATAAATAACTGAATAAAGCGTGTGGTATAGGCCACACTTCATAGTTTATTAGTCTCAACTTAAAAGTAATCTTGCAATGCTTATTTTTGCTATTTATTCTTATAATATAAAAAAATCTCAAACCAAAAATATACTATAAAAAGAAAAAAAAAATCTTTAAATAAAAATATGATTGCATTCTGGGGACCATTATGTATTTGTATTTTAAATATTTTATAATTTTAAACATTATTTGGAATGAGTTTATTGAATTTAATTTTTTATTGATTCATTCTTTCAAATTTCCAATAAATAAAAATAATCTCTCAGAACAGGGGCGTGCACAGAGATTTGGGGTAGGGTATGTAGCATGTACCTATATTGAAAAAAAAAATCAACTTTCACCACAGTTTTATGTTACCTTGTATCTAATGAGTCCTGGATGGTGATCATTTATATGTTTTTTGGTCACCATGAACATCGAAGTGTAACTTATAAATTACCACAAAATTATTTTGTTTCATAAATAAGAACTACGGAACTGTTAATACTTAAAACCAATTATTGTAGACATTGTTCACGTAAACAGTCGGCGACCGATAAAACGATTGGTATCAATCTGAACATCTTTTAATTTTTACAAATTAAATCAACGTGCCTATATTTTTTTTAATACTTAATTAAGTAAAACATAGTCGTAAATATGAGAATATTGTTTTAAAAGTTAGCTACTCACTTCGTCATCGTAAGTATTGGTTTTGCTAATTTGTAAACTTCAAGAAATATGGTTGTTAAATAATTTGTTACATACAAATATATAATTATGAATGCTAGTCAATTATAACTATCATTCATATCATTTAATTAAAGAACAAGCAATATTACCTTTTTATAGATAATTAAATTAGTTTAGACTACAACAATTATTTTGGTGATCGTATTGACCTCCAATTTATATTAGATTGTATAAGACGGGTATTAATGCGATAGACTTTGATAGAGGTGAAATTACCTAACTATCAAAATATATCGCTTATACAATCTAATATAATGCAACGCGAAAGTTTAAAAGTCTCCAATTTATAGGTCGTAAGTTATCCGTGGAAAGCTGATTTTCTTTACCTTTGATATTTCTCGATACGATACAATTAAAATTATTTTCCTATTTCTCACCTAAACGTCGACTTTTCACATTATCATTAAAACACCGTAATAAAGGTACCGTAATAAAATACGGTAAACACCGTAATAAATTAAAACACCGTAATCGAACTCGCCAGTCGTGGCTAGTAGTACGCCGCGCGTGCGTTTATTCCGCGTCGCTGTATTACCGCTCGTTATAAAATTTCTGGACGTAAATAAGATGGCTTTGAAAATTAAACCAAAATATTGTATTTTAAAGAAAACTTATGAGCTGTGTTTGAGGATAAAACAATACGATAAGTACCGAAGGCCATATAAAAGTTTTCACATATGTTTAAAAAAAAAACAGTGTGATACAAAAAGCAATAAAGATGTGATTTTCTGGGTATTACTTAAGAAATAATAGTTTATTAGCATACGTTTTAACTGAATGGCTGATGTATTGAACAAGTCGAATTCTAGTTTCTTCACTACGTCATTAAAGTTCCTACTCGCTCTCATCGTATAAGCATTTAATCTATCATTGATTTTACATAATGGTATATATAAGTTGCAATGTCTTCTTCCTCTTCCACCACCATACGGAACATGTAAACCAATGCGCTCCAATAGTCCGGGACAATCAATTGACCCCTTCGTAATATTCAGCAAAAAGGTGCGATCGGCAATGTTTTTCTATTCACTAAGCGGAAGGATATGGAATCTATGACAACGCTCAATGTAATCTGGAGTAAAAGTTTTAGTCCTATATTGCAAGTAACGGAAGAAACTATTTTGTATTTTTTCAATGCGCGTAATATAGACGTTATAGGATGGATGAGATACGCAATATAAAGCAGAGTGCCTTGACGCTTTAGCTATGTCATTTATATGAATGTCAAATAACAATTTTGTATCAAAGGTTATTCCCAAATCCCGAATACAGCCCACTCTTGTTACATCAACACCCAAGAGTTTATAATTAAACGTGATCGGACTGGGTTTGCGAGTGAACGAACACACATAACACCACAGAACAGATAAAAAGGTTAGAATGATAACGTACTAACATTAGTACTAGGACCGCGCGTGCCAGATATCACACAGACATAAAACTTCACCTATTCAGCTCACAAAGAGAGCGATGCTTCCATTGGCCACAAAAGTTTCAGCAAAATTAGTATATACTAGCCTATTAATACAGGTGATTTTACAGTAATACACAAAATGTATGGCTAGCTATAATAAAAATTTGCACAATTACTTTTGTTAGTTCTAAATATTATATTTTGTGCGCGAATATTAAATTAGTTAATGTGTAAACATTTGAAATACATGTTTCATTACATAAAAATGTTATTGCACGACGTATCTGCATTAAAACAATTTTTCAAAATATAATGCAAAGAATTTTACGCTTCTGTCAACACTGAAATAGTGAAGTGCCCTGTGATTCACAATTTGATATCGATAATCAGAAAATCATTGATATATTGGGTTAATATAATAAAATAATTTATTAATTTATCATTTCGCATATTCACGAAAAAAAAATCCAATGAAAATAAATACCATATGTATATAATCACTTCACAATGATTGTAATCAACTTTCACTTGAAACGGCTCGATTAATTACACCAATTCCTATCTTGCTTAAAGTAGCAATGTAACTGCGATTTTTGTCAGTTTTAATCAGAAGTAGGCTGCAACGGGGTCACATATCAAGAGCAGGTGACAGTGATGATAATTTGGCCCTTTGGGGGCTAGATTTTCATAATTTGAATTAGCCTTTTTTCTATTATATAGTCATAGTTTTATTTTTTGATACCTAGCTAATTTTTTTTTGTATATTTAATGATCCATATTTTTTTTACTAACTAGGTATTATATGAAGCACAATATATTAAGAATGGAAAATAATAACAAAGATGTCTCATTGAAACTATATTTCAATAATATCCCAATATAACATTTAATTTCACAATATAATCAGAAAATTAGATCTAATACATAATATTTCATTATAAATTTGTAAGTAATTTATCATATTATTTAATATTAATGAAATCATTTACAGAAAAATATGTTGAACAAATGTAACTAGTTTTAGAAGGAAACCATTGACCATTTCTATCACGCGTCAATCCACTTTTCTTTTATGTCGGGGTTTCTAGGAAAACTGAAACATACAATACAAAACCCTTTATTATTCACATTACACAATGAATTACAAAATTTAATAGTAAATTAACTTTAAATAAAAAATTAACACTATTATGTAGCAAAAACATACAAATCTCTAAAAAATTTCTGTTAACTATTTATCTTAATAGATTTAATGTTATAATTGCATGTAAATTGATTGCCATTCATAATATTAGGGTTAAGTACTATCGATAGCATTTTATCGATATCTGCAAGCACTATGTTAACAACTGACACAATCTCACGGAAAAAAAAATGTGATTATATCTCGATATACTGTTATATATGCAATATTTTTTACTTACCGATGAAATGAAATTTCTCCTTTTTTCAGAATTACATTTTCATTACGCAAACGACTCGTAATAACGGCACTATTCGGCATATTTTCGTATTTTTCGACGCACCATAGACCACTATGACATTGTGCAAATAATAAACTGGAAATTTGAGTAACATGACGTTCATATGACCGTTTTGGGCATATGGATGGTCGCACGACCCCGCCCACTTAATCGTTCTACCTTTTTATCTGTTCTGTGCATAACACTATGCATTTATAAATCGAGTACACATATACTATGTAAATTATGCGCTTCGGCTATATTCGTCAAGCTTCGGCAATCCTAATGTATTTTAAAGATATCTATATAGAGTTTTTATTACATAATTAATCATTTCGCTTAAATTTAGATTAGGTCAGCTAATTTAAAAATAAAAGTATACTGTGTTTCTTGCCATCAGCTGATACCAAAATGAAATTCCCAGATTAAAGAAAATTGAATTAAGATAAATTGGTTGTAATAACTAAATAAGTTTCTTACAGTTAGTAGAACACTTTTTATTTATCAATTAATCACAATTTGATATGAAAACAAGACTACACATTAAAACTTTAAAATTTAACTTAAATATCAACGCTTTAACAACCAATCAACGCTTTAACAACCTGCCAACGCTCAATGGAGCGCAGTATGTTAGGGATAAAAAGAATTGATAAACTCAGAAATGACATAATAAGGGAAAAAAACTAAAGTTACTAGCAATGATACGAGGAATAGGGAAATGGAGCGAAACTGCATGGTACCCAAGAAATGGAAAAAGACGAAAAGGTAGACAGAACAAGAGGTGGGCTGACGATTTCAAACCAATTGCTGGAGTGACCTGGAGTAGAGTAACCAGAGACAGAAACGAGTGGAAGAGGCTGGAGGTCTTTGCCAAATGGCAAACATATAGTCACCAATATTAAGTTAAAAGTTTTTCAACAATGTAAATTTGTATATTTATAATTCTGGAATAAAATGCTATAAATAAAAATAATAAAATAATAATTTAGTAACTGTTTACAAGGTATTATTCACCGAGATTCACGGTTGACCTTGTATTACAGTATATATGCCTAAGCGCTGGGTGCTCTCCGCCCTCAATCTCGAAAAGGGTTGAGTGTATAGAAAAAAAGTTGAGACAAAAAATTGTGTCAATTTTTTTTATCTTTAATTTTCATTACAGGTGTTGAAGTGATTGGAACGATAGAAACGGAGATAATTGCAAAAAAAAAAGATTTTTGTGACCTTTGACCTTGAATAACTTACGACGCAGACACGAGATAATATGAGACTTTTGAGACAACTTTTAGAACGCCAAAATGAAACCCTAAAGTGACTGGACTATCAGTGCCATCACAGTCGAGGTACTGACAAGAATCCCAGCCCATTCAAAATTTTATCTAAATTCTTTGCAATCAATAATAGTCTTAATTTATAAATATCTTTGTTTTCTATATACATTCTATTTGTATTATCTTTAACAATGTAATCAGATAGACGCGCTCAGAGCTATTTTTTTTATTTTATTTAAATTCAAAATTTTACATATTTTATTATTGTTTCTATACGTGTAAAGACCACAAACGTGACATTGGCGGAATTGTGTAATTGCAAATAGGCCATGAATTAAAAAAGAAGAAGAAGAAGAGTTTTGGCGGCTAAAACGACGATCACACATTGGTTTCTTGATCGGTTAAATTCGGAAACACGAAATATACCGAGGCGCATAATTTAAATAGTATATGTGTATATGGTATTTCACATTTTTATAAATCAAGTATATGATATATCGTTCTTTAGGTATTCAGGTAATTTATTATAATATAATAAGTAATTATAATTTTGTGCTGCTATTTACCCATCGAGTGTTATGGATTATTTCTGCTCAAGATTTCGTTTACCAGATATCATCATCATCAGCCCTTTATTTAGTCCCCACTGCAGGGGCTCAGGCTTTCCTTATGGATGGTTAAGGAGCATGGGCCATGACTCTCCACGCTGGCCCAAAGCGGATTGGCGGGTATTAACAACTACAAAAGCAACCGGGTCCCAACGGCTTAATGTACCTTCCGCTTCCAGATATCAATTTGTAGTTTAATTTATCACATTACTATGCCCGAACACCGCCAAATTGAATTTGATATTGAATTGTATAATTGTAAAATAAAAAAATATGGGCCATTGATGGAAACTGTGTGTACAAAGCACATGATTATTAAAAATAAAGATCGGCATTATCTTATTTTGTTCGTAGCCTGACTGAATAACTTGGAGAATATTGAATGAATACATAATTCATTAAAACAACTTTTTCATTTTACAAAACACTAAATCGATGACATGACGTAGGTATGCAAAAAGCTGTAAGCTCCTGGTCCATATATTAAAAAAAAAGTTGTATTATAGTTCCCGGATGCTTACCGTATCGGGGAAACTATATTTTAGAGATTGATTGATCATGTATTTCTGACGATTGAATAACCTATAAGCGACAGCCCTACTACATGTATCTCTCGCTCGGATCTCGAGTGCACCTACTTATTTATATATTTGTACTGTGGTTGAAGGGTTAGTGATGTGTGCGACCTGTGTATGTATGTGTGTGTGACGTGCAGGTGTTCGCCTCGGAGGCTGCGTGGAACGTGGTGGATGAGGCGATCCAGATCCTCGGCGGGATGGGCTTCATGAAAGCCACCGGTCTAGAGCGAGTCATGCGCGACCTCAGAATATTCAGAATCTTCGAGGGCACCAACGATATTCTTCGTCTTTTCGTTGCACTCACAGGTAGGTCACTCGACCTCTCGAAACGGTGGAGGAAAACGAGGTATTTGCAACTGCCATTTTTTTTTATTGGTCGTAGTGAATACTCGATATGATTATAATGTAAGGTCATTATTCTTCGCTTTGAGTGTGTAAGTTGCTAGATATCATATATATGTTTCATATTATACATAATATGCATTTTTTCTTCTGGGGGAAAAATGTAAAATTTTCCTAATTTTATATCTTTCAATAAACATTTTCAAAATTATATTTCATTTTGTTGTTTTATATTTCAACATTAAAATTTACTTTGTGTTTATAATTAACAAGATACAAGATATAGCTTTTAATAATCTACAAGATATAACCGTTAAACCTATATATGATACTCTTATCTAACAACTTCCACACTCGGTCAGATTCACAAGACCTGGTGTGTACAGCCCGCACAAATGGAATTTATCCTGGTGAAAAAGTCAATTCCCATGGGTTAATTTTCTACAGGAATTAATTATATTTCCGGATCTAGCAGCAAATTTCATAAAGAATCAAGTTCAAAAGAAATACCAATTCCTTATTATGATAGAATCGTGATTTGAGTTAGCGAGCACATCAACGGATTTGAGGGTCTTACGTATATGAAAAAATGTGACTAAATATTAACATACAGCATATAATGACACTGACTCTGTAAATTGAGAGATTTAATTGTAAATTGATTCGTATAAATTTTTAGTTAGAAAACATATAACAAAAAACTTTTTTGAAAGTTGTGCGATAGCTTGACACTTAAAGCAATGGTAATTCAAAGAATCAGGCAGGATATTTAAGCAAATAAATACATAATACAGTCGTATATAATTTCGAAAAATTGGTTTACATCAAAATTAATAAGACCGATCCATCAAGAGAAGAGTAGGTCCATTAACACTGCTCTACTCGATCGAACTCTCACATCTCTAAAAATTCATCGCGAGCGTTCGAGAATCACGTCGGTCACGATCGTTTCAGGTATTCATAGGCTCAGAAATCCTGCCAGTTTCTTCGGAAACGCCGTCGCTCCGAGCGGCGGGCACGTCGACGGTCCGAAATATCTCGAATCCGATCGAAGCGAGAGTAATGAAAGTTCGGGAGGATAGAAGTCACCGTTCGGTCGCTACACTTCGACGCGTAATTCGAACCGTATCTCTAGGGAGCCTCGTTCCGATATCTCTCAATCTGAAGGGTCAAAAAAAAAGATCGTGTTCAAAATTATTTATTCAGTCTAGGCCGTCACGAGCGCTCGTGAAAGTAGAGTCACCGTTCATACGCTACGTATCGTCGCTAGTTCGCGATCGATCGTCACACGCGAGACCCTCGAATTCGTCGGGGCGGCCGCCAGCTCGACGTACACGAAACACGCGCCACGATCGTCCGCAGGCATCCAGTACGCGGGCTCGCACCTGCAGGAGCTGCAGCGCGCGTTCAAGAACCCCACCGCGCACCTCGGGCTCATCTTCAGCGAGGCCGGGCGCCGCGCCTCCGCCGCCGTCGGGCTCGCGCGCGGGCCCGACCTGGCCGCCCACCTCGCGCCCGAGCTCGCCCCGCAGGCGGCCGAGCTCGCGCGCCAGGTGGCCGAGTGCGGCCGCGTCGTCGAGGCGGTGCTCGTGGAGCACGGCCGCCGCGTCGTCGACCGGCAGTTCGTGCTCAACCGCCTCGCTAACGCCGCCATCGACGCGTACACGAGCGCGGCCGTGCTCGCGCGCGCCTCCCGCGCCACCCGCCTCGCGCTGCCCGCCGCCGAGCACGAGCGCCGCCTGGCGGCCACGTGGGCGGACGAGGCGCTCGGCCGCATCCCCGCGCTGCTGGCCGACGCCCGCGCCCCGCGCGCCCTCCGCCGCTACGACGCCTTCGCGCGCCTCGGCGCCGACGTCGCCGCGGCCGGCGGCCAGCCCTCCGTCAACCCGCTCAACCTGTGACCTTCCCGACGAGGAGGGGACGACGCAGTCGAAATGATACGACCCGTGTAGACTTAAGCGACGATTATATTTATTTATTTATCGGGACGGCCCGGCGTCCTCGTTCGGCGGCCGCCCCCGCCCCCGCCCTCCGGTCCCGGCGTCAGACGTCGATCTGCAGCGAGGCGTCCCAGGCGCGCGCGTTGACCTGGCGCAGCGTGGCGCGCAGCGCGGCGCCGGGCCCGAGCACGAGCGTGAGTGGCAGACGGTCGGTGCGCGGGCGCGCGTACAGCGCGTGCAGCGTCTGCTCCCAGCGCACGGGGCGCGTGAGGAGGCGCGCCATCTGGCGGCGCACGTGCGCGGCGTCCGCGTAGGGGCGCGCGTCGGCGGCGCTGAGCACTCGCAGGCGCGGCGCGCGCGCGGGCACGAGGGCGGCCGCCGCGCGCACCGCCGCCGCCGCGTCCGCCATCAGCGGCGTGTGCAACGCGCCGGCCGCGTGCACGCGCGCCGCGCGCCTCACGCCGTACTCCGCGCCGCGCCGCTCCACGTACTCGAGCGCCTGCGATCGTTCCGCGTTCTCGTTTACGTTATGGACGCGAACTAAACTCACGACACTCGAATGATTATGTGATGATGACCGAACCGACGACGAGTATACGAAAATCGATCCAAAAAGAAAAGATCGTAGCGCGTAAAAACACGTGAAATTTTTTATTATAAGTACGTTAACGTCGTGAACTTGTCTTGCATAAAATTAATATTTACGTTTTAGTGCACATAAATAAAATTTTATTTATAATTTGTTTTTATTATTTTTACTTTTTAGTTTTGTCTCGTTCTTTTGATTTCTGCCGTAGCATCTTTTTTTGAGAGGTGTATTTTATACGCGTTGTTGTTCTGATAAAAATGAATCCGACGAGCCCGGACAAGACGAGACAAAGAACGAGTTGCATCATTTCATCACCGAGTTCCTATGACCACCTTCCTAACCCATCGGGCAAATTAATGTTTTCTCTATACAGACTTCTTGAGACAGCGTACATTTCGAGTAAAGATTGGCGATGTCTTTTCGAATAAGAAAGAAATATGAAGTGGAACCTCCTGGAGTCCGTCCTTGAACCGATATTGTACGTTCTCTATACATTTGACCCAGACGATACAAAGATTTTTTACAAATCGACTATTCTCAGATAGTAAGATGGTCCCCTCCGTTGTCAATTACTTGACATAGATATATACTCTATTCAACATATAGGTGATCAAAATCCTCATTACAACTGGAGGACAAAATACTGAAAGAAGTCAAAGTAAATATTGATTTGGCTGTACATATAGCTGAAAATCTTTAAAGCGAACACCATATCTCTGCTATTACAAAAAAGGCCAGCAGTTTCATATACCTTATCAGGACAGCGTTTGGTCATTTAACAAAACTTATGTGATGTATATTTTGGAATAAGCCTTTCGAATCTGGAGCCCTTATTTTAAAAAAGATATAGAAACGTTGAAAAAAATTCAACGCAGGTTTACGAAACTCCCGAAAACGCGTAAGAATAAACTTATAATGAAAGGTTGAAAGCTTTAAAACTCCCCACATTAAAGGAACTGTGAGAACGCGGAGAGTCGATATAAGTATGTGAAATATTGCATGGACATTACGACATTAAAAATATTCGACAAACAGTTATTTCAATATTCCCATAACCTCGAGAGGACGTCTACGGTTGACAAAAAAAGCGTCGTCGTCGTCGTCTATTAATCCACACGCGTATTTTTTTTAGTAACAGAGGTAGAAGCTCGGAACAGATTACCGACGGATGTAGTTTCGACACAGACCGTAGACCGATTTAAAAATAGACTAGACAAGTTTACGAAACAGTAATGAAGTATTTCGCACAAAAGATATCGGATACGGGCCACATCGGTCGACGCGACCGCAATCCGACTACGTAACCTACGAAAATTTCTGTCATACAAATCTCATTAAGTTTGCCAAAATCTATGGACATAAAAAAAATCAATACAAATCCAAAGGCTTTTGCTGCTTTTGCTTTGCTATATGTCCACGTTTTTTCCAAACGGAACCACCGCGCGGCGGCGTCGATCGGAAATAAAGTAATAATATATCGCGGGCTTCGAGCCGTCGAACGCGGACGAACGTTTCGCTCGCGTCTCATAGGTGATTTTCGTCGATCGGTAAGATCAGAAAAGAAATACGCGCGCTTCGGCACCGACCTCTAGATCGCCGGCGACGACCTTGCAGCCGGGGTACATGTAGTTGGCGACCTGGCACACGGGCGCGGCCACGGCCCGCTCGGCCGCGTGCGCGCGCGCGTCGCGCAGCAGCGGCGCCAGGCGCGCGTCGGCCGCCAGCCACAGCGCCAGCATGCCCCCGCGCCGCGCCCGCCCCGCCGCGCGCTCGGCCGCCGCGCGCACCAGCGCCAGCCGCAGCGCGCCCTCCAGCGGCAGCGCGGCCGCGAACACGAGCGCGGCCAGCTCGCCCAGCGAGAAGCCGGCGGCGGCGCGCACCCGCTGCAGCGCGCCGGGCCGCTCCTCGCGCACGCGCTCCAGCGCCGCCAGCGACGTCACCAGCACGCCCACCGCGCGCTGCGCCGAGTCCGCGGGGCCCGCGAGGCACGCGCGCCGCACGTCCCACCTGAACGGCCGTTCGTCGGAAATTAGCGCATCCGTCGGAATAGATTCCGAAGATATCTCGTTTCGTCGAGCTTCGCGGTCGTTCGCGTCGGAGTGCTAGTTTTTTTACTGGATCGCTCCCGGGGAACCTCGCTTTCGTCGAGTGCCCGATATTGTTCGCCGACTCGACTGACGCTACCTGAAGTCGTGATCACCGTAAAAATTGAACGAATCCGATGTGCGCTAAATAAAATTCAATTCAACCGTGCCGAGTGTGATGTTATGACTTTTGACCGTAAACATGATCCGATAAAATTTGTTTATAACGTGAACACCTTATGCATTAACAGGGTAAACTATGTGAAGAATTTGGGAGTTATCTTCGATCGTGGTTTGACTTTCCGTGATCATATAACTCATATCGAGGATTCTTATCGCCGTCTAGGCTTTGTTACGAAATGCCGAAGACTTTCAAAATTCTCAGGTCTTTAAAACGTTATACGACTTTGATTAGAAGCGAGCTTGAAACGAGTGCTCGCTTTTGGAATCCATATCACGTCACCTATGTGCAGATGGTCCAAAAAGCTTTCTTGAGAGCATTTTATACGAAATTCTAGGGGTATTATCAGTTTTGTTATCCGACCAAGTTTCTACTCGGTCATCTCGGCTATAATTCCCTGGAGGTAAGAAGATTGTTGGATCAGCTTAGCGTTTGCCTAAAAACTTTAAAAGGTTCTGTCGATTCCTCTTCTTACAGAATCTGCTGTGTGTAATCTTTGTCTCTGACCGACCGGACCTCCGACCTATCGTAAGACGCGGCTGCAGTCGGCGACATAATTTGTTTCATGTTCATAGCGGCCGCACCTTAGCACGTGCGATGTCGCCCTTAGTTAGGCCTCTGCGTCACCTCAATGTACTTCGTGATGCCTACACCGATTTCGATTTTTTATTTGACAATTGGGGAAATATCAAGTGGCAATTATTGACGTACTGTGAGAGTATAGGGGACCGATGGAGTAACTCTGGTAACTCTGACAGTGAAGATAGTGACTACTTTATTTAATATAATTGTTAATTTATTGCCCTATTTTATTTATGATTTACCTATTTTATGTGTGATAAATTTAAATTGTTTTAATAATGAATGTGAATTGTTAATTTTATTCTTTTTTGTATGTAATGTGTGATAATTGTAACTGATGTACATTGTTTTTATCACAATAATAAATAAATATCAGATCCGATTCATCACGTCTGTCAAACCACTTAAAAGCAATATCAAGAGGTTCAAACACTTGCATGAGATGGCATTCGCTAGTGCCCAAAACTATCACTCGAATGCTATTGAAAAAACAATACAAACATTATATAGCAAATAAATGAGAGAGCAATCAGATTGGAGATACAAATTACAATACTGTATACAATTAAAATAGGCTTATACCTTACATTTGATACTATTTCATTTATATATATATGACTGGTCCAGATTCCACCCACCATTAATAATAAACTTTTAGAATCAGACTCTTATATTCTTTTAGGATTAATTATAGACACCAATTGAAACTGGAAGGAATATATATAAAAAAATTACTAGTGAATTGTCTATGCTCTTTTCAGATTCAAAAACTGTACAGATCTTCAAACTGCTACTTCTGACACTTTGAGGCAACAGCACCGATTCAAAAAAAGCATTCAATCTATGATCAATCAATCAAAAATACTTATATCCGAATACTTGCAGTCATATCTGAATATTTGCAAATATACATTACTGCTGATTTTGCTTTATAAACTTTGTATTTTATAGAAGACAAGATTACAATGTAAAATTGTAAATTTGCATTATAACTCAATTACTGCACGCTTATATTCAATATTATATTATTATATATCAATATTATATTATTATATATCAATATTATATTATTATATATCAATATTATATTCAAGCATATGGTAAATGGAGCACTTTATTTCAGTGCTTCTATGCAAGCTTGTGGTACAGGATGGGTTTGTTGTACATCAATATTATAAATTGGAGAGGGTTGTTTGTTTGCATTGATAGACTTCAGAACTACTGTTTAAATTTCTTTTCACATACCAGAGCTTCCTACATGTCACCATTTATAGGTGACTGGGTATAATTTACATGAGTAAAGTCATGGCAAACAGCTTGTATGTAATAAAATCTTCTTACCCAACAACACTTGATGCTAATTCATATAAATCTTGAGCTGCTTGTATCTTTTGTAAGTGTTTCCCCATACCCACAGTTTGTGAGCCTTGTCCTGGGAACAGCAATACAGTTGTGTCCTTTGGGTTTGTCCGAGGTTTCTCTGAGTTTGATTCACCCGGTCTCACCGAGTATGGTTCTGTTGCCCACATTAAGTCCGGTTCCTTAGTTTCGATCTCCCCGAAACCACTAGCATCATCCAGCAACCGTCGAAGGGGCGTTTTATTTGAATCAACCGAAGCGATTCCCGATTGCCAGCGAGAAGCAGTTCTTGGTGTACGGAACGCACACGTTCGACACAAAATACAACGTCGCAACATTATTTGTGGTAAAATGCAAAATGGGAATAGCACATCAACGTGTTGAAAATTTTATTTAAAAAATCGTATTGGAAGGCTTAGATTAATTTTAAACTTTGTAGGAGGTTATTGTAATTTGTAAAGACTGCTTTATCTAACATCTACGTTTAGATTGTAACTTATTGATATGTAGGTAGGTTTGAGCTTAAAACAAAATATAAATATGAGCTATGTACCACAAGTTGCTAAAATAAACTATATTTTGTTACAATTGTGCAGAACCTTAGAGTATACAGAACAGAATAAACAAAAAGCACACAAAAAGTACTTCTTCTTCTTTTTTAATTCATGGCCTATTTGCATTTACACAATTGCGCCAATGTCACGTTTGTGGTCTTTACACGTATAGAAACAATAATAAAATATGTAAATTTTGAATTTAAATAAAATAAAAAAAAATAACTCTGAGCGCGTCTATCTGATTACCATAGAATTAATAAGTACTAATGCTGATTACATTGTTAAAGATAATACAAATAGAATGTATATAGAAAACAAAGATATTTATAAATTAAGACTATTATTGATTGCAAGGAATTTAGATAAAATTTTGAATGGGCTGGGATTCTCCTTACTCAAGATACATTTTATATTTGTTGGACGTGGAACTTTTGATGGTACCAAATCATAAAGCGAAATGGATAAAATTGGATAATAAACAAAAAGTAGTTTGTGCCTTTCTTCTTCTTTTTTATCGCTGTCAAAAATTACTAATATCGAAACCATATGTCTATGATCGAAACTGTCATTAGGACAGTGTTGCCTTGAGAACTGCTAAAATCTGTATGGTTAAAGAAACCAAAACACATTTTCTGGCAATAATCATTATTACTTCCTTTGAAAAATAAGGAATAATGTACGGTTTGCACAGTATTTTATTATATTGATAAATGAAAGCATTTGATTGATATGATATTCGAACACGAACTGATTTAAATAATTTTTATGGCGTAAAATGATGATGCGGCATATGTACGCGCTTGCTCGTACAAATAAGTACTAAGGTCTGATTATTGTTAATTAAATAAGATACACTAATTAGTAAAAATTGGCGTTTTTCTTGAGTACTTTTCTTGTAAAAATATTTCTATGAAAAACTCACTTAATTTTTCTTTAACATAATTATTGTGTTCTTTGTTCTAGGTTGTATAGCGATGTTTCGGGATTATACCTGTATTTCCAAGCACCTGTATTTAGAAATATTAATTTAACGACCAACATACTAAATTAAAACAGTCGAACGAATTCGAAGTACTTAACTTCATATTTAGTATATTTTGTAATATATTACTTCCTTAAGGGCGCATGTGCACTACACTGAATTTTCAGGTTCAGCTGTCCGATTTTTTCCGGTCCGATATGTCAGGCCATATGTAGGTAATGCTAGCCTGTGCACTGTCAGGAATTTTACTTTTCTCTATTCCGGACCGGTATTTTCAGATCCGTGATGGCGGCAATGAAAAACGTGTTTACGATTGTGCACTGCTGTGTCCGCGATCCGTAAAATTCATGAGCCTGTGGCTTCGGAAAAAATAATCGATTTTTGAATAATCGATATTTATTTCGTCGATATTGTAAATTTTTTTATACAGGGAAGAACAAAATGACCGACACAGCCGAAAGTTTCAAGTTAGGTTACATGCAAACGTTCATTTTATTTGATAAATATTTAAAAATAGAGGAGGTGTAAAAATGGAGTAAACACTTTAAATTTCTAAATGTTGATAGCCCTTGAACGCACATGCGCAATATCGATTGTGCGCAGATTACAACGGACCGCGAAATACTTTAAATTAATTTAATTATTTACCGATATCTTAATGATAGTCGATGCTGAAAATGTTCAATTCTTCTCTGAAGACAGCTAAGCACGCTCTTTTGCATGCCAGTATATGCACGCGCAAAACACATTACATTTCACACAAAACTAAACTAAACTTAACACTCAAGACGAACACTCTAGTCACTCTTATTAACAAAAATTCAATTAAAAATGCACTAGAAAAAAACAAAAATCGACAAAAAAGACGTTTCACAGCGGTGCGTCGGCGGCGATGCGCAACAACACTCCAGCGCTAAAGGTCGGCGGCGACTGATCGGCCGGACAATACCAACAGAATAATGAAGCCGCCTGGCGGCTGGCGGGTGGGTGGGGCTTTGATATTGAGGGACGAACTCGGTTCATATTTTTTTTTAATCGCCTTTTGATATCACGCATTTTTTAATGTTCTATTGAAATGCTATTTTAAAAACAAATTCCTCAATGTTTTTAAAACAAAGTTCATTTGTGTTAATGGTGAATCGCTGGAAGATTTGTGAGTTTATCGAGTTCAATTAACGATCCCGTTGTTAAAGGAGTACATATTATCCCATTCAAACAATTTTTATGGCGAACTGCTCTTTTAAAATAACGTAGGTTAATGTTAGACTGTCTACAATAATTTAGGAAATTTTACACTCGGTTTCTTAATTGAGTATTTAAAGTTAAATGTCTCAAACTAATATCACTTAGTTTTCGTTTCCGATTTTAGTTTTTTGATGATCAGTTGATAGCAGTTTGATAAAACTAAAACTATTTGACTTGTGAAATTAAAAAAACTAAGGTTATTGAGAATAAGCAGTAGAAATTTTCTACTTTTTTCAAATCAGAAACCGGCTGTTAGTCTGTAAATCGATTTAAGCATTTTGACTGCCTTGTTTATTGATTGTCTGGTAGAATTTGCATGAAAGCAGTCTTATAAATCATAAACTAGTTTATTTCGTTTTTAGAACTGAAGAAGTCAATGACCGATTAAAAACTTTTCCTTTGTACGTCCCAAAAACAGCTGACTCAGGGTTGAAAACACTAATTTTTTTCAAAAACTTTGTAATTTAATATCTCCGAAACTATTTGACCTAGACTTATAATTTTTTTTTACATCATATTAAAGACAAATAGTACTCTCCAGGAACCTCGGGAGTGTTGGTCGTTCTGTTCCACCGAGTATACTGATAATCTTAATATTTTGTCACAAAGAATATCATAAAAAGAACCTTATTTAACTTCTGTCTAATGCTATAATTAATGGAGTATAGGTACGCTGAGATTCTTAGAACGTCGGTAATTGCTTGCTTTATTACTCTATGTGCTAAGCAAAGATATTGGGTACAAATTATTTTATTGTATATTGGGTACAAAGATACAAATTATTTTAATCAATATACTAATATCAATATAGTTGGTATATTGATTGGTATAGAGAAATAATAATTATTTCTTTATCACTCTTGAGAAGAGGGAAATTTTATATATTTCAATAATATTTCCCAAACATTGTCGCTTGCTGAAGATTGGTTGAGACATATTGCACAAAAATGAGGCACCCACAGTCCACTGATATGATCCATTAACATAAAAGTTTAATGCTGCAAGGATATGCAAAGAAAACAGAGAAATGAGAGAACCTATATCCAAAGATAACATATTTTTTTAAACTTGTTTTTCAAAATAACAGGTATATTCTTACCTTGATATCATTGCGCACAGCTGTTCTTCGTCGGGATACTGGTAAATGTGGTGTGAGAGCCATTAGAAGCCGCTGATATCCATCATTGTTAATACGGAAATTAGCAATAAATTGATTCAAAGGATCACTCATGTCGCGACATCGACGCCTCTCTATTCTTAATAGATTTCTCTTTCTTTCTTTTTCAGCAAATTTCATTAAATAAGACCTCACCATCATCAATAGATTCATATCTTGTCGGATTTCAAACAAAGAAACTCCGTAAATCAAACAATATTGTCTTTTAAAGTCCAGTGAATACGAAATTATAACTGTTTTCAATATTAGCTTTTTAACGCATTTTGATTGCGTCAAAGAAACTTCTTTCGAGCACAATAGTAGTTTGCATAGTAAAACCGAAATTAGAATTGTTTTTTATCATAATGCAATCCAAAAATAATACTCATCGAATAAACACAATATTATCTTGCGAGTTTCAGTAAAACCTAAATTAAAACTATTCCTATCTTGGTTCTGTCTATTTAATGCAGTCGGGTAATAGTGCTCAATAGTGGAAATCGATAAAACACTGCCCCATAGCCGTTCCTTTCACGGCTTTGTTGAAAACTTAAGTGATTAGCACTTTGTAGTATTGTATATTTGATAGCCACTCTGCTTACACAATACCAATTTAAGACTATCGATACGGCAACGCTTGTCAAAATAATTTACGGTCTACAACGGTCCCGTAACGTCATCTTTGATGGACACTCCAGTTAGCCAATAACAAATTCGAAGTTTGACAGATATTTGATGTCAACTTTGTCAGTGGCTATCAAAAGTAGTTGTCAACAAAGTTACGCAATAGCCCTACTGATAGGGTCATTTTACATAAACCATTATAAATTGAGGCAGGACGAAAGCATTTTTTTTTACTGGTATCACATGTACTTATACTCTTACTAAAATAGGAACAGCATTATTCATAAACAATAATGTTCTCGTACTTGATGTTCAAATTTCTTATCATGCAATTTTTCTTAGAAGTTTTATAAAAACAACTTCAAGCGATTACAGACCATCGTTGATACCGTTTTGTAAACAAAGCGAAATTAGTGCCGTGTAAGCGAAGAATTAATACGTTAAATGAATTTTACGGTGGCATTGAAATCGGCTCTCCTTTTTTTAGTAAGTTTTAAATGTCATGATTTAACTATAATCATTGTTAGATCAGTTAGCTGCATTATCTATATAATTACTAACTTAAATTTTATACGCGTGGTATAGTTTATTTAAGCAGAATTCTTTTTTAAGAATACTTCTGTTATCAACTATTTATTTATACTTATCTTCTCAAATATCTAAAAACAAATTTGGATGATGACAAATTTACATGCAAACTTTCATCCCCTACCTCCACCTACTTCGGGATAAAAGGTAGCCTTTTCTTTAATGTCTTTTCTTAAGGTTAAGTCTATTTCTATATAAAATTTCATTATCATGGGTTCAGTTGTTAAGGCGTTTAATCGTAACAACACTTATTTGTCTAAACTTAACTTATCCATACTTTTAATACAATTATAGAATCTAACCAAGTATCGATATTAGAACAATACGAGGATCAAATTAGAACTATTTAGAGTGTGCCAAAGCATATGCCGTGATCTTTACCAACTCTATTAAATAATCATATAAAATATCGCATTTTATAATCTACAATAAATATCGATTCCTCATAAATCGATTATTTACACAGCTCATGAATTTTCCTGATCGCGGACACAGCAAAAAAAAAAAAAAATCTTAAATTTTGACGTTACTTTTCAGTTTAATAATCGCGCGTCGAGGAAAAAATTAATACAAGTGATATATTACTACACCTCCCATCCCCCTTGTGATATTTCGTGAAAGTAGTAAGTCCATGTTCACATTTATTTTTAAACTTTATTTTCTATGGTATAGAAATACTTACTTAGCATTAGAGATGGACGTTTAAACAAAAAGCACTTTATTAAGCATGCTTTTCTTATTAAGTGTAAAAGCGCTTTTTCACTTGGAAGAAAAGTATGCTAATGCTTATTGTACGTCCCGCCATCTATCAAGATATAACGACTGGTTTCAATCAATTTTTCTGTTTCGGCATTTTTCTATTAGAGAGCGGCACTTTACATAAATGCACTGTATTATACTATAACGCGTGATATCCATCTAGACTTTTTGCAACAACTTTGTTTGGTTGGTTAATCCAAACGCTTTTTTAAACGGAACTTAAAAAAACAGTACGCTTTTCGATGTTGAAATAAGTGCACGTTGTGTTGAATGTTAATTAATTGCGTAAGTTGAATTGTATGCGTAAATAAATTGCTACTTAAGTAATGACTTTTGTCTATTCGTAAATAAACAATATAAATAATTTTTGTTGTGTTTATGAAACGTTCTAAATATTCATTGAACTGCATTAGTTTTAAGATTGTGTAAATAAAATCTCGAGAAACGGTAATAGTATTGAGGTAATGTATTACACATAAATTCTTCCTTTTGAATCCTATCTATGAAAAAAAAAACAGCATCAAAATCCTTTGCGTAGTTTTAAAGATTTAAGCATACATAAGGATATAGGGGCAGAGAAAGCCACTTTGTTTTTTACTATGTAGCGATAACACAATGTTGCACGCTTATTATAACGATTTCCAAACGTCAATTGAAAAAAAAAACCATTAAGCAATAAGCAGTTTTTAAAAACGTTTTTTAAAAATCGTTAAACGTAACTACGTTATTTTCACCTCTACTTAGCATACTTGTTCTGTGAACATCTTCTTCTTGGTCTGTGGTCAATCTGTGGTGTAGAAAAAAAGATCCAAGGAAATCTTTGTAAAAAAGTTTGACCAAATTGATTGAAACAAGTGGAACCAACATTGGATAGTAGTACGGCTTACTACTTACTGCACGATAAAATAAAAAAAATATTATTCAGTTTTGCATCGGAGTTCATATGCGGACAAAAACAGGCACACATTAGTTAAATCCTCGTTCACACATCAAAGTATTTCTGAAGACTGTGAAAGTAAGTGTTACTTAGTAATTTATTGAGATCGTTTTTATTAAATTCAGCTTTTGAATATAAAATTCTGTTCAATTACTAAAATTGTTAACTACGTGTTTTTTGTTTACCCAATATAGGTTGTATTTGACGTTCACCAAAAATTTATGGCTCTGACATGTGGCATTTAATTTTTCTACCAAAATAACATAGAAAGAGGCATAGCCATAGAGGAGTATTATAGGTGACCAATTTTATAAGAGTAGATAATTATGCTATTAATCTGGGTTAAATTTGTGTTCTTCAAAATGTTTGCCATATGGACTTTACATATTAACAAACTACTTTTGAATGGATATTGACAATAAGAAATTATGTTGTAATTTGATAATTGCTTACTTTCCATCAAATCAATGGGTGCATACTGTAACCCAACTATAACATAACATACCTGAATATTTTGAAAACAATATAAAACTTGTTGTTACTTTTGAAATGGGTGCACCATTTAAAATGTTACCACAAGTAAAGATGAACAAAATATTACAAAATAATAATAATATTGATTATTTCAATGACAATAATTAGTCTTAGTTTTGGTGATATATTTACTTTGGTTTTTTATCTATATTGTGTAGACTCAAAAGTTCTATTTTCAGGCTACAAACTATATAGGTTTTATATAAAATATTTAAATCTATTATACAACACCGGTCTTAAGAAAACAGTATTGTAAATTCTATGCTGTTAGTATCAGTATAGTTTCTTTTTCAAGAGTGCAAAATTAAGATTATTTATTATTATTACTGTCATTATAACAACAAGCTGTTTCCGCTTGATAACCCATTATACCGCAGGCTTCTAGCCAGAGGGGCTTATGTGCAACGATGAGTTTTTTATAACACCAATTTTTCCTAATTTCATCAATTGGCAACTTATTTTTAAATATTATATTTGATCAATTTTGTATTCATAATGCTATAATATGCTTATAAGCCCCTAAGGTTTGAAGCCTGTGAAATGTATAATATGGCTGTTTCTATACTAAGTCATGTTTTGTTGATAGAATAATGGCTCGTGGACAACAAAAGATACAATCACAAGCCAAGGCAGCTGAAAAACAATCCAAGTTAAAGAAGCAGCAAGGACACAGTGCCACTGATCAAAAGAAAGCTGCACAAAAAGCACTGGTACACGTGTGTGTGGTTTGCAAGGTAATGTCCTCATTGTTACCTTATGTGGGTGTCTTTTTTTATACATCTCCATATTACATTGATTTTGAGTGTCAATTTTTGATATAAAATTTTATTGCAGGCACAAATGCCCGACCCGAAGACCTACAAACAACACTTTGAAAACAAACACCCTAAGAATGATTTACCGGAGGATCTTAAGTCCATCTAACATTTGTATTTTCTAGCTTTAATTATTTCTATTACCTTCAAAAGTACTGCACTCACTGCGTGAACTGCATTATAACAAAATAATTAATTAAGGAACTAAAAATCTTTTTTAAATATTTGTAATAAAAAATATCTTATTACATTTTTTTTTATTTTAAAGCTCATTAAAAAAACATTTGCATTAATGATATATATAAATATTTAAACCAACATAGTGGATATACGCTGTGTAGCAAAGTAAGTGAAATGGTGGATATTGTGTACTTGAATTTTATTGGCGACTACACCAGTGTCAATTCCCGGCCACACTGCTAGATGTGGTTCACGAAGTGAGTTAAGGGCTGGACAACTACATCCAAATGCATTTTTCTCTAATCAGTTACTGTTATATATTATTTATTACAACTGTTATGTAACAAGATATATTTTCTGTCTGTGTATGTGTAGGTATTTAATAAATTTTTCTAAAATTAAGATGGCAACACTTACAAAATTTTCCTTGTTAGGTATTCTTTCAATTAAACAAGTAAACAGGTCTAACTGTGTCATTCATTAATAAAAATTGAATAAGATCGAACTCATCAATTAAATAGGTTTAATGTTACAGCTTACTTTAATAACCTTCAAATTATTGCAATTAAAAAAGTAACAGCATGGCCTTCCAAAAACCCTTTATTTCAGAATTTTGTTTCATACTTGTAATTTTTTTATGTGTACATATTATCAGTTGATAAGTACTGTATATTCGTTTTCAAAATAGATTTGAAAATAAAACAATCCAGCAGATTTAAAGGGTTCTGTACGAACATGAGCAACGAACAGTAATGACAAATATGAACTTTTTGATATATATAATAATATTGTAAATTTTGAAATGCTAACATTTATTTATAAAATAAGCTAAAAAAAACGCCTCGATAGTTTCTTGTGCTGAGATGGGCAGATAGAAAATATCTATCGCGAAGCACTCCACAGTCTTGGTTCTCGTAAATATGATCACATTTCTTCCTTCTGTTAACAACCTTAGTGGCTGCCCATTCGAGAGCGCACAAGCTTAAGGATAGCATGCACCCTTTTCAACATTCTTTTCAATCCATGTACTCCCGAGTATTTGAAATCTAGTTTTCACTTTGTCGGGGCCTTCATCAGGAAAATCTTCGCTCCAGTGGTAATTTGGTTCTCCAACTTGTTAAGTATCCAGCTCTTTCACTGTGACTGCCATTAGACTATGGAATACACTGCCCTTTGACGTTCGTAACGCCCCAAACAAGCTCGCATTTAAGTCCGCAGCTCGTAACCACTATTTATAAAGTATGTAAATATTTATTGCATGTATATATGTTTTAGCTATGTATATTTTATGTATGGTTTTTAGTCTTTACCGTCTACTATTGTTTTGTACAAATTTACCAGTAAATGTAGTATTAACCCCGCCATTCGTCTTTAGTTTACGTTCTTTATGGGGAGCTTACACCATTATTTACAATAATTACATCTATATAATATGTACTTATAGGCTAATAACAAACTTTCGCATATATGCAGAAAATTTGTTGTAATTAGTATTATTTATGTAAAATAATGACGGATAACAGGTCGATACAACTATGTGTTGTAATCACAATATGCTAGAGACATGTTAAGCTATAATTTCAATACAAGGGCTACCTGGAAGGTAGGAACTAATACATTCTTAATATGCCTTTATTAATTAAAATGATCCATACAAGTAGCCTTCTTTTTCAATTATGCGTTTTTTCCAATAACGTAATTTAATAGAGAATTGTTAATCAGACTAAAAAATTAAATGTTACATTTAACTGTCGCTACTGACCACTAGATGACGCTACAGTTTTTAAACGGGATTTTGCTTTTTGTTGTTTGTAATTTTCTCCGGTTTTTATAAAACAGAGTAGTTGTCGTTTTCAATTTTGCGATTTTTCCAATAATATAATTTAATGGGGAATTGTTAATTAGGAGAATAATATGATACGATTAGCTGTTTTTTGGTTGGTTTGGTTTTGATTTCGTTAATGTTTCTCGTCTCTATTGTTGTTCAGATTCTTATCAAACAAAGTTGGCTTTCATTTTTAATTTTGTGGTTTCATACTCAAAAGAGAACCCTGTGCCCGTCTGTCCGTCGGTCTGTGGTTTAGCTCAAAAATGATTTGTATAAGATAGGTGTAATTAAGCATGGTTTACACTTTAATCACGCCAATCAAATAGTAAAATGAAATCTTGAAAAAAAATTGCCTCCTTCCCCACATGCCAAGTTAAATTATCACACTTGATCACACAGTTGACTTTACAAATTTAATAGTAATAGTCAACCAAATGTATTTAGCTCAAAAATTTCGAACAACGCCTTTGAAAACCACAAATCCGTTTTTTATGGATAAATCATTATCCATAAAATGCGCAAAAAATCAGGTCAATTAAGCTTTAGTATGCTTTTATATTTTAGTTGAGAATTATTCATCGGACGACAACTAATATATGGGCCACTATTAATGCGATACTTTAATACTTAACTGAGGGGCGTTAATTGTGTTTGCGAAAAATGTACTAAACTGTAGATAATCATGAATGACTAATAATAAAAAAATACTTGAAATCAGCTACTAACGGTAGGAGCTGAGTTAGGGAGCTACCGCCCTTAAATATTTAGTTTTTTAGCATTTTTTTGTTATAGCTGCAACAGAACTACATCATCTGTGAGAATCTCAATTGTCTAACTATCACGGTGCATTGGGCACGGCCTGGTAACAGCAAAATTAAACATTTTATTCTTTTTGATGTTGAAGCGACAACAGAAATACATCATCTGTGAAAAATTTAGATACAGAACCCTAAAAATCAAAGATGCTGCCCAATTATTGTTATTATGAACTATTGTTATGAATGCAAAAGTAGGGGTCTTCCAGCTGGGGGCCCGAGGGTCAGAGGAGACTCCTTACTCCTGACATTTGTTATTACGCAATTCGTAAAAAGAAAAAGAATATACAATGAATTTGTACTTTTTTTTCTGTACCTATAATAACTTATGTACTTTAATTGGAAAAAAAGTGGCAACCCTAAGCTTGACATACATGTAAGTTTTTATTTATGTCACGTCAATCACGTACAGGCTTATATTATATTTACCATCTTTGTGGACGCATTCAGAAGTATGTAAGAGTGCGATTCGTTCTAAACGCTACTTAGGTAATGGGAGACAGAGATCTCAGGGACAGTCCCATCGCAATATTTCAGTTCTGAGCGATTTTTGTCGGTATTAAATTGGGAATATGCAAAAATGTTTAACGTCACTCGGGTCGACGGCGGCGTTCTCTTGAATTTTGAAATAAATTCTTTCTTAACACTCGAGAATTAATTTCAAAATAGTCAACATAAACTTGAACAAAAATTCTTAAAAGGTAAGTAGAACGGCAAACAAAAATTAACTCTTTTTATTTAAATATCTCAAGTAAGAAAGTATGTAGATAATCATTCAAACGATCACATGCTAAAAGATTCAAATAGATCACAATCTAGAAGTCTCCAATATCTCACCGAGAACGACGTTCGTTCATATTCGAGTTCAACGTTTATATTCCTTCGTACAACGACTCGGACCGATGACGGATCCACTACATCTTCTCGTAGGTCTCTCGGTGGCCGCAGACGAGGCAGACGCGCTCGTAGTCGTCGTCGGCGGCGCGGTAGGTCTCGGGGCCGAACTCGTGGAGATGCTTCGGGGCGGAGCGGTCGTAGAGGCTGGAGCGCACGTCCATGCGCAGCGCGCGCAGCCGCCGCTGCGTCTGCTTGAGCTTGGCGCGGCCGCTGCGCTGCGCCCGGCGCGCGCGCTCCTCGTCCAGTCCCGCAACGGAGCCCCACACGAGTAGCGCGCGGTCCCGCAGCTGCGCGCGCAGGTACAGGCGCATGTCGCCGCCGCCGCGGTGCGGGTTGCGGCGCCGCACGCAGCGCAGCGGCGGCGGCCGCGCGTCCAGGTCGCAGTCCTTCAGCAGGAACTCGGCCTTCGCCTCGGTGCGCGTCATCAACGAATGCTCGTCCTCGTCGTCCCTGCACACAGGACGTCCCCGCTCGCGTGACCGTTTTCAAACCCGATTCGGTCCCTCGAAGTATCACAGATGGACGCTCCGAGGATACGTCCCGGGTGGGGCTCCCGGGTGAAAAGATCAAAAGACCGGATATTTTTGATCGATCGCTTACTTGACGATTTAAAAATCAAATTACTATCGTTTCTATTCACTCGTCACCTAGCCTTCTCATTTTATGTTCTCGTCGTATTCCGTCCGTGTCCCCGGCGAAATAAATAACGGTAGGTTCTCACATAAATGACGTGTATGTTTTTAAGAGTATAGAGTAGGTGCTCTTCATACATACGCACCGAAAATGGTTTGTATGTGAGCGCGCCCGTGCATATGCGTCTTCGCACGCACACACTTGCAAAATTATTGAACCTATAGGAGTTCAAGGCACGAGTGGCAACTCGCCAGTCGTGGCTGCGTATATTCCGCGTCGCTGTATTGCCGCCCGTTATAAAAATTCTGGACGTAAACAAGATGGCTTTGAAAACTAAACCGAAATATTGTATATCACTACATAGTATTAAACAAAGTCGTTTTCTCTGTCTATATCCAATTAAATCTTTAAAACTACGCAACGGATTTTGATATAGTTTTTTTTCATAAATAGGATGATTCAAAAGGAATGTTTTTATGTAAAATACAAGCACGCGGGCGAAACCGTTGGCGGAAAGCTAACGCATTAATAAATCCAGTATATGGTATTTCACATATTTATAAATCAAGTATATGGATATATCGTTCTTTAGGTATTCAGGTAATTTATTATAATATAATAAGTAATTATAATTTTGTGTAGCTATTTACGCATCGAAAGTGTTTATGGATTATTTCTGCTCAAGATTTCGTTTACCAGATATCAATTTTAGTTTAATTTATTAAATCTCTATGCCCGAATTCCGCCAAATTAAAATTGATATTGAATTATACATATTTACGTATTAGATAATATAATATAAAAAAAATATGGGCCATTAATTGATAAAAACACATGAATATTAAAAATTAAGATCGGCATTATCTTCTGATGAACATGATGTAAGGCAGATCCGGCAAAATGACGGCGAAATTGACCCTTCATGATTATAAATTAAAATTCTTATTAAATTAATATTATTATTTAAATTAATTAGTTTAAATCTTGTTGTTACTTGTTGTCACTTTATTAATATTAAAAACTAGTTAATAATTACAAAATAAATAAATAATAATGGTGTAAATTGACGGAAGTGTGTTTGGCTTAAAAATCATAATTCGTTTGCTAATTAAGATTATTAGAAAGAAGATGTCTGGCGGAGAAAAAAAGGAGAAGTACTGATATAATTGTGTTAAGTGGTTTAATCTGTTTACATTAAATAAAGTTTAATTATGTTATTTTATCATTGCTTCTTTAGTGTTTGCGAATGAATTCGAATAAAAGACATTGTTTTGTGCTTTTGATTTGTGTCTCATGAAATGCTTTTGACTATTATCGATAAAAATAAGGATTGAGAGTGTCATTTTATTATTTAAAGGCTGCAGTTTTAATACATACAAATTAAATACTGTTTGTGGTTTTAATTATACAAGTCTACCCTACTGTTTTCAACACTTCTTTTGTTCGTAGCCTGGTTATTTGGAAAAAATTGAATAAATACATAATTTATTAAAACCATGTTTTAATTTTACAAAAACCTAAATTGAGGACATGACATAGGTATGAAAAATATTGCAGTCTATATATTAGAGATTGATTGACCATGTATTTCTGACGATTGAATAACCTATAAGCGACAGCCCTACATGTATCTCTCACTCGGGTCTCGAGTGCACCTACTTATATATTTGTACTGTGATAGATCCATCGGGCCCGCCCTGGCAAGCTGTGGGCTCACCATAGAGAAATAAACTTACACATAAAAATAACTTCATCCTCGTTTTCAAAAATAAAAATACATGTCGCGTCTATCGTCCCGCTCTCATTGACGTCTTTTTTATTTAGGATAGTGTTTAATGCGTGCATGAGAGGGGGCTGGTCTCGGTACCGTACCGAGGTAACTCCACCGGGCAAGGAATGGGACTTAACCATTTTGTTCATAATCGACTGATATGATTAAAGCACCGAACTATTATAGATAATAAATTTAAAAATAAAGAACCAATAGGATCGGTTCGCCCTGTAAAAAGTTTTGGGGTAACAAACATAACGCATACTTAATTCAAATTTAAGACTTTCTAGTAGATGACTATGCCAGATCTAACGCGGCAAACACTAGCTTTCAAATAAAAAAAAGAATCATCAAAATCGGTCCATCCAGTAGAAAGTTATGAGGTAACAAACAGAAAATACAGCCTATTGGAGAACCACCTTCTTATTTGAAGTCGGTTACAAATTTAATTTTCTATTGCAATATCTATACTAATATTATAAAGCTGAAGAGTTTGTTTGAACGCGCTAATCTCAAGAACTACTGGTTCGAATTGAAAAATTATTTTTGTGTTGAATAGACCATTTATCGAGCAAGACTTTACGCTATATAACATCACGCTGCAACTATTTGGAGCGAAGAAATAATGGAAAACGCGGACGAAGTCGCTGGCGGCCACTAGTAATGAATATAAAAACAATGTATTTATTAAAATTCGTTTTTACGCAGTCGCGTTTTTTGTTTTTCTTTAAATAATTTAATTTTTGATTGTGTAAAAAATGTTCTATCTATCTAGAGTTCGCAAAATTTATGGTTAAGATATGGCTAAAAGCTAACAGTATTTATTTATCATAAATGAAATTGATTTTTTTATTATCTATGTCGTGTTGTAATATCCAACACAATATTATTTTGCCAAAAACGATCTACACTTCGCAAACAGACATATGGATTGTGTTAGCTACGCAGCTTGTAAAATATGAAATAACATTCCCCCGCCTACGAGAAACTGTTATACTTTCTTTACCTTCAAAAAACATACAATGAATGCGCAACAAAAGCTAGGTAACATCAACATGGATGTTTCTTACTTATAGGATATTGAGCAATATTGGCGAGCACATAGTGTGGGCTGAATGGCGTGGTCTTGTGTGGTTTTCTTTTCCGCTAACAGGTGATCTGCTCAGATCAATTATGGTAGGTAAAATCCTTAGCTACGCCAATGTACCATACACGGAGATTATATAATCTAAGGTCGAGAGGTATGAGAGGAAGATACACCACAATTTTTAAACGACTTTAAAATCGAAAAGGAGGAGGTTATAGTTATTATGTTTGACGGCGATGTATTTTTTATTCACCGACTGAAATTTTATCGAACTCGAATCAATATTTTCCTTTTATAACAAAATACAATATGCGTTTCATCAAATTACATAGACGACATATTTATATCAGCGAAAAAACAAAAGATAACGTATTTTGCATTCATTTCAAGTCGAAAAGGAAGAATTTCTATGTTCAACGGGTAGGGGAAGTGCAGTATATTTGGAACTAGCTTTCCGCCAGCGGCTTCGCCTGCGTGCTCTTGTATTATACATAAAAACCATGCTTTTGAATCACCCTATCTATGAAAAAAAAACCACATCAATATCCATTGCGTAGTTTTAAAGACTGAAGCATACATAGTGTAGCAGATGGACTGTAGCTGGATTTGAAAGCGGGCAGGTAGCAGAGGTCTCGTATAAAACACTTGGTTCGGAGAAACTCGGAGAACGTTCGAAGGCGGAACATGCTTTATTGCGCAAAATCGATTTCTTATGTGCAATTTGATTGATCGCACTTACATAAATCAGTTAATCTTATTAGATTCCTTAGAGTGGGGTACGCTACCCCGCACCGCGCGGGGAGGGGAAGGTTTCGTTGTTTCTCCGTCGGTGGCGCTGTTGTCGCGGCGTGGCTCGGTGTCCTTTACACATAGGGACATAGGAACAGAGAAAGCGACTTTGTTTTATACTATGTAGTGATACTGCAGATAATTTGGAATAGCCGTAAGCATTACGTCACAGAACAGATGGAGCCAGTGAGGTCCAACAACGGGACGTTATCTTGACTTTTTCGTTACAAGACACGGACTGCAGTCTGGGATACCAACTCATATACTGTGAAAAGTTAAATTTTTACTGTTATCTTATTAAGTCATTATGCGAGTGTAATTAGTAAGTATTTGTAGAATTTCAAATGTAACACGGAATTTTGGGTTAGGAAGTACTTCATAAGTCAAAACATGTTTCTGGAGATTTTTGTTTTGATTACGATTTAGTTATGGTTTCCGTTTTTTACTTACTCGCCTCTAATATAATAAAATTTCTCATTTTTTTTAAATTCGTACACATTAATTGCTTACATATAAGGCTGTTATATAACTTCATATTTGGCTGAATTAACAAGATGGCCGCGACATATCCATTAAAATCGTACGAATAGATTAGCGCCATACCTACAGGAATCGCAGACACTGTAGTCGAACGTATCAAACAGGTACGAGCAGGCGAAGGGCCGCTGGCAGAGCGCGCAGTGCGGCTGCGCGGCGGGGTCCAGCAGCGGCGCGGGGGGCGCGCTCACCGCCACAGTAGCCATCGGCTCCTCCTCTTCCAGAAGAAACCCACCACCGGAATCGCATTTGGCTGCTTCAGTCTGGCCAGCTCTGCAGCGAATATATCACGACGTGAGTTCATCAGTCAAAGGGAAATCGACATTATCAGTAGCATATGAGATATAAGTAGAGAACCAGGAAAGAAGATTTCTAAACTTCCATTGAATGAAAACTAATATATTTCATATTTGGGTGGATTCTAACGAGTGCTTGGTGATTAAAAGCTAGTTTGTCCTTTTGGATCTCTGGTAGCTTAAGAGTTAGAGCAGTCCCCAGATTGCGAAAGGGTTTGAGAGTCACCTTTTTTCATTAAATATATGTATCAGTATGGCATTGTGAATGCAAATTGATCAAATATAACAATGTAAACTGATATTTTAAACTTTAATGCTTCTTTATTTATGTGGGTTTTTAATTAAAAGTGATTGGGACCTCTTTATTTTTAAATAGTAATTAATGTTAAGTGTAACTCCTAGTGCTTGTCAATGCAAACGAATATTATGAAAGGTAGGAAAGGAAAATATTAAGATTGCCAGCCCGTGATGGATAAATGAAACTACAAGGTACAGGCTTCACGTGTACATATATAGGGTAGCCACCTATAATTTAATTAATTAATTCATACATATAATATATATTTTTGAATATTTTCGTAATCTGCAATGGCTTACTGACAAACCATCTTCTCCCACCAGCAGTTCATTATCAAATGATAGACCAAAATTCACTACAATAAAAAAGCCAAACTCACAGCTCAACAGTAAACTTCACTAAAACAAAATGTGAAACTGTTTGTCTTAGATAGTAGTGTTGATTTACATTATTGTAATCATGCTCATTTATTAATTATCAAATAGCTCTCACAATTTCCTAACAAAAAATATTCTTCCCGTGAAACAGAACAGAACTGATTGAAAGAGAACAGGAATGAAACTAAACTGTTTTACATTTTGTTTATATAATTTCAGTATTTTTTTATAGTGTACGTACTATTACTTGTATTTTCTCTGAATAAATTTCATATAAATCAAGCTGTCCTATTAGTCAAATATGAATATATGTTTGAGTATAGGTGCATTCATAAATTTTAAAATGAAGAGTTGTTTTGAGAGGTTTTGATACTGGCAATAAAATATTTTTACATACTAATTTAAATAAATATTGTATTAAAATGAGGGTTGTTATTTCAAACTTAGTAAACACCTTCCTTGTTACAAAATTTTATTTATATATTAATAGTGTTATTTACTTTTTTTATAGTTACATGTTAGAATAAAGAAAGCTTTAAAGGACCTATTATAGCCTAAATTATGCACAAATTCATTAAATAAGTATACAGCTATTTCTGTAACATAAAAAATTTAAAAATATTAAATGTTTTATCACTAACTAAAAAGAAATACAAGTATGAGCCGTTTTACTCATAAAATTTTATTAAAGAATTATACACAATTTTTTATTTATTATCAAGTAATGAAATGTTTGTAGGTCATTGATTTTTATCTTTTATTTACAATAATTTAAAATTGTATATTTAAAATTAGTAGTTACATTTTATTTAATGCTTGTTTGTTGAACTTTGAGTACTCATTACTGATTATTTAAAATAATCATAATAAAATCAACATATTATTAAGTACAGTTGACAGCAAAGAGTTATAAAAGATCAATGAGAAATTTAAATTATTTGACACAACTTACAAATCAGGGCGGCGAACTAAACGAGCGTCCTGTAAGGCACGTGCTTTCAATCTGTTCCGCTCAATACGTGCACGTTGTGCAGCTGTCAGACTACATTCCTCATTCACATTTGGAGCACCTCCGTCTAAGTCAGCCAGTTCTATTGAGACCATATTCAATGTGTTCACATTTTGTGATAATGAGCCACATGGGCTACAAATGTTGTTATCAAACTTATCTTTTCCTTTCATTTCATCAGCCATGTGTTTATATTAATCCCTATTAAAACTGAAAAGTTTGCAAACAGCTATCAACAAAAAATTTATACCGAATTGTTCATATATTAGTTACACTTATTCTAGGCACATAGAAACATTCTTTGTACCTGTAATTAGCACTCGAAAAGTCATAGACAGTCATCAGGTATAGAATCTTGAGGTAAATTATTTATTTATTGAATGAGTTCTGTGTTATAGTGATGCTAATGTAGGTACGACATTCATAGTTACTTAGAAATACAAAAGTTATACAATACAGTATTCCTGCCTTTCTTCTGAATCTTTTAACTATAAACTAGCCAACTCTCACGTTGCTGTGGCTAATAGAAATAAATAATTGAGGTAATATCTATCCTATCTTTTAAGATACACCGAGTTACATGTAAAATTTGAATAAAATCATTACCTTCGGAGTTTATCAGTCTTGGAGTTAATGTGTTCTATGTTTATAGCGACTGATTTCCAGTGACTTCAGCCGCGAAAGTATAGCGTATGTCACCCGCGTATTTTTAAAATCGGTCAGACAGAGCCTACTTAATGGAAACAATTTATTTAAGTATCCGCATATATTGTAACAGGATAGGAGACTTACATAGTTTGAACAAAGTAAAATATAAATTCGCAAAACTTTCACAAAATCTCACCGAATAAATAAAAAAAATGTTTTGTAATTTCTACTCAGACCCGATTTTTGCTGAGAGTAATGTAAAAGAAATATTATAAGTCATTGAAAATACTGTTTAAGTTTATAATCCAGGATTCAGCACGTCGTAGACTATTATTGTTCTATGTTCAGCAAGGAGTACTATTATTCTTCTTCTTCTTTTTAATTAATGGCGTTGCCCTTATGGAATTCGCAAAAATCCAGTGTCTCGCTCAGATTACTTCATATTGTAGTATTTTATAAACTCTGGTTTTTGTAATGGTTCGGTAGTTTCAAACGCAGAAAACATTTGTCTTTGCTATGCCTTATTCTATTCTATTTTTTATTGATGGCAAATAGAGCCGGTGTCGACTATTTTGCCCGTGATTCTGCCTTACCAGTATAATATTGTAATCTTTGATTCTGCCAATGCATGATCGGCAATCGGTCATAGACATAAAAGAAGAGGACCGGCCATACCTATGAAAAAAGCGTATATGCCTAAACTTCAAATGCAAATTCTTCGATGGCGGATTGTCATAGGGCGTGACCCAAGATATCGATATTTGTATCGACATTGAAGTCATATTAAATAAAAGTTAGTATTTCGTGAAACTGCTACAATACTACTACTTATTAAATAATATAATATAATTTTCATTGTTAGGGGCATGGTTAAACTATTACCTATTACACTTCTATTCATTTCACACTTACGTACCAATACTATTTATGATTATTATTAATTAAATTGAAAAATTCACGCCAGTATCAAGCAAATAATATTTTTTTTAAAGTGGCGTGAAATTATCAATTATTTATAAATCATTAAGCAATCTTTTGCTCGTATTTTGTTGGACATCTAAAATTTCTTGCGTTCTTTGTTCTTGCGACCCCGTTGCGTCACTATAGTAAATATAACATATGTTACCAGCGTATGATGGCGCTTCCCACGGGTAAAAGATTATTCGTATTCCAAATTTCATCAAAATCCGTTCAGTAGTTTTTACATGAGAGTAACCAACATCCATCCTCACAAACTTTCACATTTATATTATTTAATAATATAATTTTATAATATGATTGTACCTCGATAAATATGTTTCCTTTTCCTCTAATATAGCCAATTTTACATAGTTTTAAGAACTATAGTACCAAAATATATATCTTAAAAGTTTTACAATAACATCAATTGTGTTTTATAATTATTTCCATATATATTGTCGAGTTGACATTTTGCAATTATAATTAAATAGTTTTTTTTACATAAGTTTAATTTTGCATCCACGGGAAGTGTGACTACTGTCCAAGATTACTACCACGGTAACTATAATAAGCTTTTAATGAGTCGATTGACGAATGAATTATTATGCTTTTTTTTTGTCTGTTATATATTTTTTATTGTTTTGGTGGAAAGTGACATTTTGGTCCAATGAAGTTATTTTTTATTTTTCAGTACGAAATTAAACAGGGTGCAAAAGCAGCCCTTGCAGTTTCTTACCGGTTCCTTTCTTACAGTTTCTTCTTTTCTCGGTACAAGGTTTCCCGTAATAGATTGCTGAACTATAAGCACAGAGTTTCGACTTTCTTCTATGCTTGTAACTAGTTAGCCAACTTGTCTATAAATTTATTCAATAAATTGTTTTGACTGAATAAATTTCGCTTCCTCCTCATTAAGTGAGATACCGTGCGTACTGTGTCACAATTTTAGTTCAGAATATCTTGTTTAGTAGTAAACATAGAAAACTTGAAACACCTACATAATCTTTGTATTATATTATTGGTAAAAGAACATAAAAATACTGTAAACTTTGATGAATAAACAAGAGAAAATAAAGAAAACAAAGTTGGTGATGAATAAGTAACAATTGGCATAACAGTAACATTATTAAAGAAGTAACAATTGGCATTTTATTTAAAAATTTGGTTAGCAAGAAGAAAACAGCCGATTAATCAATAGGCAAGCATACAAATATTTTCTCAGCACTAAAACAGTCTGCAATTCATGTTCTGTGAACAATCATGATAACGGTCAGCAATTTAAATTCAAAAAGGTAGCGTATTTTATGATGCATCAGCAACATCCACGCATCCACGATAAACATCCACGCCGCAAAGAATTATTTGGGTATTAAGATTATACTATTGAACAGCAAAGAAAACCTTTAACTATACCTTTAATTTGATAAGTGTGCATATTTTAATTTTTATTAAAATTATTTAACTCATTTTATTGTATATTTTACTGGGAGTATATTATGATCAGAATTTTATATTTTAATATTATTATATATTGCATTCTGATTTTTTTCAATTAAAATAGTCGTCATATGACCGCAAGACTAAAAATAAGGTACATTTATAGAATAACAAAATGACTATATAAAAAACTAAATAAATAAATCAGTAAAATCAAATGAAAATTAACTAAGTGTAATAGACATTTTTTTTTAAACAAGTTAAAAGCAATTGTCAAAAATTCTTACCAGAGTATTTGATTGGCAATGCATCATCTCGTAATTTTATTATATTTAAAGTTCGATTCAAACAACTTTCCCTAAAATGAAGTGAGCAGATAAAAGTAACTTTTTCATTACATTTAATATTTTCTGCTTCTATGTAACTCAGCCATTTTCCTCTTTTGTTTCATCTTTTGGTAATCTAAAATAATTAATATATTTTTAAATATTAAAATTATCGATATAAACCATATGTTAAAGTAACGACACTAGCCATGTAAACAATATTATTTACGAACCGAAATATTATAAAAATATAAACGAAAAGAGCAATATAGCATAAATAGAACACGCCAAAATACGATATGTATCGATTTATACACGCAATCATTTTCAGAATAACTTACTTACGTTTTAAATACTGTTATTCAAAGAAAGTGTTTAACTTACCGGTGAAACGTAATATTGCTCGGTTTGCGGGATATTGATGACGCACAACCAATTATACAGCACCTAGGCATTGTTTTGCATAAATAATTTACAATTTTCTGCCATGAAAGTTATATAAATTAAAGTTATAAATGAAAATAACCACAAAACTTATAACACTGACAGCTGAACTACTTCCGAGAATACGCAAAGCAAATTTGCAAATGGCTGACAGGTGGTACGATAGCTATATCTCATGACGTCACGTAAAAAATGTTGAACTGTCACACTAGTGTTATCTTTGTTTACTAAAGAAACTTCTTATTAGTTAAAAAAAGACAACATGATGTTTTTGATGTCAACTTCAGATTGCATGATATTTATATAACCATAGAAAATATTTCCACTCTACCTTACTCTATGCATTAGTGGTAACCTGTGTCGATCGCGATTAATCGAATCGTTTCGATTCGATCTTTTAACTGTAGGCGAGTCATCGAATCACTTAAATATTTATTATAAAAAAATATAACAATACTTTTGGCACCTAAAACAGTAATGTAATTAAAAAAATGTATTTTATTTATATTATTACTTCGATAAGTGAACTATATATTATGATGTCATATAAAATTCAAACATTTGTTATTATTTTTTATTGAAATGCGCAGCTGAGTCAATAAGAAAAAACGTAGGAGAAAATATTAAAAAAATTGCTGGTACCAATGTTGACACGTGTAACTTAAATATTATTATTTTTCTACAGATTGTATGACATCATGTCATAACTATTATATGCGTCCCGTAGATGGTTATTGCGCTGGAACCTTGTCTAAATAACACCCGCGTGACGTCGTATGAAAAAAGAAAGTATAGGTAGCACAAAAGGAAGAGTTAAATAATTCATTATGTATTATTGAATAATCACCAAAATAGTGTTTTAAAATTTTTTGTTTGTTAATATTTGGTGTTATAAATAGGATGATGCCTGATTATTTATATTCTAAATTGCGTTGGAGAACTGCACAAGATAGGTATGGAATACGCTCGATGTCTCATGTGCTGAAGATTCCGTCTCACAAAACTGCATCATTTAGGGGTAGCTTCAGATACAGCGCAACTAAATGCTGGAACAATCTGCCGCCGCCTTTACGTGGTCTGGCTTCTCTGCACAGCTTTAGGACTAAACTGAAAGCATTATTTTTGTATAATCAACAGTGTCAGCGCTGAATTAACTGATTTCTGCGTCTATCAGACACCAAGGTGCACTCAGGTGATTGTGTGTTTCATGATGCATATGCTAAGGAGAGGTGATAAGGAACTTACCTGGAATTTGGGACCCGTAAATTTATTGAATCCATAGTATCCTATTGTTTGAATTTAAAATTAAGCAATTTTTTTATTAATTATTGTTTAAAATTAGGTACCATAACACAATATTATTTATAAAAAACACAAATGCGTATGCGATAGTTGCGAGCGCTACGCGACCGCATGGTTGCGAGTACGTTCGCGGAGTATTATAGCAGAGCTAGCGAGCATTGGCACACCTCGGGTGCTGGCTGAAAATCGACGCTGTAGTCTGCTGCAGCACTATGTCGAGCCGGGATCTTTTGGGCACTGCACCGACTATGATATAATATTGTGAATTTAGGTAAATTTGAAGATTTTTATATTATTATTGTTATATATTTTTTAATCAGTATTATGTCTTTTTTAATTTGTCAAATGGTGTATGAGTTCAATAAATATTCATCCATTCATTCATTCATTCATTCATTCATTCATTTATTGCATACATTTTTGAAAAAGAATCAATTTATGTGTAAAAATTGAGGTATATGGAAAATAAAATAAAATATGGAAAACATAATATTTACTTTCTAATGACGCTTTAGGAACCATGTGGTTGAATCTGTGGTCCCTACTGTGGTGATGGAGACAACTGGCCAGGGAGACTAAAGAATAATTGTCTCCCTCCGAGCTAGGTGTTGTTAGCCCGGGGACCGCGGTCCAACCGATGTAGGTTGGACGTTCTATTTATGTTAATTGATAATTAAACTTATTCTGTGTGATGTAGGTTTCTTTGTTCTAAATGTGTTGTAGTTATTATTTTATGCTGTTTGTATTGGTACAGCGCCATCTCGTTACTTGCTGTTGAAACTTATTGCAGTTCGTCTTGCTATCGATGGCTGTGACGATGCTAGTCTTCTCGCTATCGATTCTTGTGGCGATGTTACTGCGATGAGTTAGATGTCGCTATGTATCAGTCGCCACAGTACTTTCCCCCTAGACCGAAGGTCGATCCATGTTGATAGTAGGTGGTATGCAGTCAGTGCTTCAGAGCTTGCAAGTGCCAGGTTGCGACGTCGGGACCGAAGCTGCTGGTGCAGGACTGCCACGCCGGTGAGTTGTGTGTGAACTGAGGTCCGGTCGTGGGCTGCGAGGACCAGGGTCGGGATGATGCCGTCGTGTGGTACCAAGAATCCAGGAAGCGCCGTTG